ACTATACGGTCCGGTCCAGACCACGCCTGTGCGGTCTGGTTCAGTCTGGTCTGGTTCAAATAGACCACACTCAACGAAAAATGAATAATTTGTTTAGTCAACCACACAAAAAATTGAACCAATAACCAAGAAAAATAATTGTTATTTGCCTTAAAACATTAATACTAACATGCATGAATAATTTTGATACCCTAAATCTTAGTGCATAACAAAGGTACAAAGCAAAAGCATCCAAACTTGCACCATAATGTCATAAACATTAACATAATTTCATATGGAGACACTATTATCTCTACTCTCTGGTTAAATGTGGTTGTGAATGAAGGAGGGACGAGATTCACAAAACTAAGGTTGAGACTTGGATGTCGTTGTGGGAGTTGGGAGAGTGGTCGAATTTGCTGTTAATACGTATTGACAAGTCGGTTGGGTCCACGGTTTGGTCCGATAAATCACGGTCTATATCAGACCAGACCAAGAGATCAACACATAAAATACAACAGACCATGGACCAGACCAGACCATAATTAACAGTCTATGGTCCGAACCAAACTGTGTGGTACAATTTAAACTACAGTTTTTTTAACGGTCTGATCTATTTTCCTAACCCTTACGTTCACACATTTGAATTTTTTCTAAATAACACCTAGAGCTGGGAAAGGCAACCTCCATTATTAAACTAAGTAATATTTTACTCTAACAACCAAACAAATTTGTGAGCAAGGTCAATGCTTCGTGTTTCAAACACCCATGAATGATTAAGAGCTTTTTCTCAATAATAATCATAATTAAATTAATTAAAGTTAGTCGTCAAAAGACAAAAGCGACAAAAACTCATCACCCAATTGCTGATATTCCCAATGCCAAAGCATCATTACCTTCATATAATCAACTATTAGTTACCCCATTTCTCAGCTCCAATATAAATATACTAGTTTTCAGTGTCCGCGCTCCGCGACGACGAGATTTGAGATATGTGTTTTAAAATATTGCTATTGCATACTGGTTGTGTTCTTTTGTGTATGTTTATGAACTTTTATTTGTTATTATTATACTTTGCAACAATAACAATGTTGTTTATAATATGAGGGATTTTTATATTTAAAGATCCATTCCATGATTAGCATTGGAATGTATGTTGATTTTGAATAACAAAGAGGTTTTAAGTGCAATCATATTAATAACCAAAAGCTCTTGTGTGTGGCCTTGGACTATTTGTGTGAAATTATGATCGAGATAAAGCCACAACACTGCTTTTGGATGTAAAGCCCATAATACTTGGGCCTTTGATTTAATCTATTCCGACCCTAATTTAATTGAAATGCTAAAACTCGGTCATTTTCTACAGAAACACCTATTGCCCCTTTCTGTCTAAGCTTTTCGATCAATTGCTGAAATTTAAAAACGTAAGTGAAGGATCAATTAAGAACAGCAAGAACCGTTCCACTTGGAGTCCAGAGTAGCTAGAGTACAAAATGCGTGCTGGGAAGTTTCCGACGATGAGACAAAATGAGCGCTGGGTGACAGTGATCTATAACACAAAACAATTCCCATAACATTTGCCACTACATAATAGATTTTGAGAAGCAAACTAACCATTCTTATAAAAATAATCGTAAATACATCATACTTGAAACTAATAAAAGTTCTAAATGGTGACACTGATACTGAACACCACCTGACAAAATGACACCTTGCTGAACAAAGATCCATAAACACCACACCTGCAAACAAAAACAAAAAGACCAGCCAATAACACAAACTAACCATAGAAGGAAAAAACATAAAAAAAAATAAATAAAGCTAAACCTTGATGGTACCGATCTTGCCATAGGTGCAAACAAGACATCAACATTGATGATGTTGAACAGGCGACATGACTGTCATTGCTCTGAGATGGCAAAGAAGCCAAAGGACTGACAACACTTTCCAGAATTGCAAGGGGAACAGGTGCTGGTATTGCATGGGGAACATGTGTTTGTATTGCATGAGCTTGCTGAGGAACCACACAAAGGACCCTGAACTGTCCAGTTGGCATGCCATTGGAACCCACCATTGGCAACTTAACCTCAATCTTTGCAAACTGACCAAACAATGCACTCAATTCTGGAGGCAGCTCGCCAGACCTGTGCGGGTATCTCTGGGCCAACAGCTGAGTAGAGGTGAAGACTAAGCTGTTGCCACATGAACCAAAAACAATGAAAGGGCCTTCACCAGTCACATCTCTCAGTATAAGCTGGATTTTATACCTGCACAAAGAGATGAAAATGAAACACGCAACTTCAGTAACAACATACACAACACAACAACAACAAATCACTACACTGAAAAAGCACAAAAAACAACTAATCCACTACCCAATTGTATGATGCCTCTAGTATGAGAGGGTTCACTGATATGCGAGTTCCTGAAGAACTGGAACAGGTGTATACACTATACACCCTCTGCGAAAGAACAAATAATTTTTCATAGACCAAATCAGAACCCAAAAGCAAATAATAAAGATCTCTCCAAACCACGAAAAGGCAAGAAGGAAATGTCACCTATCACCCGGCAAACCTTAAGTCCTCCAACCGCAATGATCACTGGCTCAATAGAGTCTTCCTGAATCAAAGCAGTGCGGTACAGGAGGCCAGCGAGTTCGTTCCACAGAGTTATGGAGACCCTTCGACGCCTGAGATAAAAGTACAACACATCAAGGTTGCATCCATGTCGCTCAAAATTAGTCCAGAGAAATTTTTTGAGACAAAGAACTGCAAGAGAGAGAGGGAAAAAGTATAACAGGGACCAAGAAAAGAAACGAAGGAGAAAGAGGACAAAAAAGTGGCCAACAAAGAACTTTTTCATCCAGCCCAAATTCAACCAATAGTCCAAAACAAACTACACCATTGAAAACTAAGTAGAGAACACCAAAGGCCAGCTGCACCCGAGCACACTCCAAACTATAACAGTAAACATGAGTCTAAAGGTACAGTAAAAGCCTTCTGGTGGAACAGTAAATGAGATGTTGGGAGTTTTATTTCTTTCAACTTGAGTTCCTATTATTTTTAAAATTAATTATCTCGATATTTATAATTCACCCCTCTTCGTAATCCTTTCTACTAATTCTACATTTTACCGTGCTGCGGCTGCTCCTTTTCCACGCCTCATTAATTAAAGTGTTGTAAAAGTCTTAATCAGAGGTTTTGTCAATAATTGAAACAGGGTTCCCATGTGTCACCTTACCTATGCCAAGCTATCATCCACCATTACTTTAATTAATCAATTACAAAGCGAAGATTTGAAAATCTCCTGCTCTCCAATATAATTATCTCACTTACAAATTAGTATAATGAGCTGCAATTTAAAACAGAAATTGGAAAATCTCGCCCTAGATCATGTTTACAAGCCATTGGCTAATCCCACCTCTTGTTCTTTAGTTCTCCCTTGTATATTGGCTAGTCACTAGCCGCTGGTTTAAGCTTGACCTATAATATATGTATTTGTTCACATAACTTATAATAGATATACTTTGATATATATATACTTTATTTGACGTATTATTGTCATCCGGTTAATTTATTATCTGAAATAACGGGATTCACTCTAATGATGGTAAATTTAAGGTATTTCAGACATATACTAAGCTAAATAACGAAATACACTTACGAAAGTACTTCTGAATATAATGTGCATTTGGCATAACACTATTAATAAAAAGTAAAAACTTAAGAAATTTCCAAACTTAAAAGGTGCATGTCACCTGAAATTCTCACTGGGTGGTTTTTATTTCACTTTATTTACTATTCTTGTGTTGGTCTCCAAGTTTATTTCAGCAAGTGTGGTTGTTGATGTGACTTGAATCGGACTATCAACCGCTACGACTGGTAGTCGGGGAATCATACTATAAATACTTCTCATACTCCTTTGTAATCTGTAATCTCCTCGATATAGTGAAACTGGCTCTCTCTCGCCCGTGGACGTAGCTAACGCACATCGTGTTAGTGAACCACGTAAATCGTGTGTCTGTGTTTTTTGATTCTCGCTTTCGTATTCTTGCTTTATCGATTCCGACGATTTCTCGATCCGTAGCAGCGTGTTTATAACAGTGGTAATGTGATTTTGTCCTGCTAGTGCACCCGATGCATTGGGGGTGAGATAGAATGTCTACCCCACTTGGTGTTTGATTTTCGACACCCCACCCACATTCGTCGATTTCCTAGTACATGTAACCCATCTAACGACTGCTAGTAAGGGATCTTTTTTTTATTTTGGGTTGTTGGGCGGAATCTGTATTTAAGGAAAAGAAAGCGCGCATTGGGAAAGGAAAGTAATAAATATGGGGATTTTAATTCACAAAAAGTAATAAATGCATGAAGTTAATCAGTGCACTGGTAGTTGTATTAGTGTAATGGTAGTTGTATTAGTGTAATGGTATCAGTGTACTGGTAACGTTATCGGTCAATGATAGTTATATCAGTGCAGTGATACATTTTTTAGGGTAGTCAGAGGGAGTCTGCCGGCGGGATTTCACCAGAAAAGTGTGACGGTCGGAGGAAGCATGGTGGTTGGAGGCTGCTGAAAAAGGAAGAATTGGAGATAGGGAGAAATAATTGTATTTATTACAGGTTTAAATTTGAAAAAAATAAGTAATTAATATGAGATTTTAATTCTAAATGTATAATTAAAATGAGTTTTAAATTCTATAAAATCCAACCCCTTGTGGGGTTAGCAAGCTAACCGTACCTGATGCATTGTCTCAATAACCAGAACACGAGCATATAGGTGTGGTGGTGGTCAAGGACAGAGTCAGAATTTGAAGATCGAGGGACAAAAAAAATTTAACATATAAATTTCATAATTGTACAAAGCGTTTGTTTTCGATAATGAAAATTTATAGAAATACAATCTTAACTAAAAAACGAACCTATAATATGTTCAATATAAATTAGTAAATTAACATAATACTCACTATGTCAATTAAATTCTAAGAAGTTAAAGTATGAAGTAATTTGAATTTATATAATAAATACATTAATTTATCTATAATTCACTCAAATTTATTCGTTAAATAAGAATTGAAGATTTTAGTTGATATAATATGAATTTAAATGATTTACAAAATTGAAGTAGAATTTAATTGACATATTTGAAGTAGTATGAAAGTTAAATGACCAAATTGACCATGATAAAACTAATCTCATAAGTATAAAAAAAAAAACTAACATTCTTGGGATTATTAGTTATTGAATCCATGAACAATGTTTCATAAACATAAATTGACAAATTTCCCACTGCTTTAGAAGAAAAGACTTTATATATCAAATTGCACACTTCTATATTTATCTCATGTTTTATTTTATACGTAATATTCATAATTCTGAGAGGAGCTCCCAAGTCCCAAGGCCTAACACAGCTCTGGCCCAAGTGGTGGGCAGAGGCGACAAGTTTGTACGAGGTGATTTCATATGCTTTTGGTGAGAGGAGATTAATTTGTTTCGAACATGTTTTCATAAGTTCGGTGTAATTTTTATAGGTCGGTCTGCAAACATGGTTGGCCATTTGGTAAATACTTTCTTAATCCCCTAATTTCATAGGATTTATTACTTTTTTTTTTTGTGCAAGTTAATCACACAGAGTGATTTTATTTGGGGGAAAAAGGGATGGGATTAGGTGCTAACCCCTAGCACCGTGATAACTAGCAAAAAACGTTACTAAAAATAACGAAATCACTACGGATTATTATAAAATCAATACAACATCTAAGCTAAATCACTACTAATTCAAACTAGTAATAATTTTTCCCTTGATTAGAACGATGCTAACTATTATACAATTAGCACCGTAACTCCTCCCGAGGAAAAACCACCCAATACAGGGCCAAGCAAGCAAGCCCCTTTCAAGTTAATAAATAATAACCACTTGCGGAAGATGTCAAGTCAACTTTTGGCATTTTGCCTGACTTACTTGCTTGCTTGCTTCGTCCTAAAATAATAATAATAATAATAATAATAATAATAATAATAAAATGATCATGTTGAGAAGAAGAGGTCTAGACTTTAGAGTTTAGACCCGTGAAATATAATGGTATCTATAAATATACCATCTTCTTCCCTGTTGTTTTATTTATTTATTGAAGAAGTGAGATAAGGATCAGCATCAACCTCAATTTTCTTTTCTTAAACGGATAGCTAAATCACACCAGCACAAAAAAAAGTCGCTTCTTCAACGGTAATGGCCAAGATTCATGAAGCAAGTTACTGCCAGGCTATTAATAAAGACAGCCAAACAAATAATTTTTGCATTTCTTATCCAGGCGAGACCATAATAAATTAAAAAAATTCGTATTTCTTTTAGAAAATGTTGATGGAAGGCGAACACATTGTACTCATCAAGGTTCAAAAAAATGATATGTGTAAGGAAGACGTTGGGGTCTTGCTTAGCGACCGGTTCGCCTAGATGTTGTCCAAACGTGCCTAAAAAGTGGAAGCAAAAATAACCGTTAATCATAAATAATGAATGAAATGATTGTTTTTACAATATTTTAATTTAGTTCAAATGATTAATAGCTTGCTTAATACTTAACACTAAGAAATAAGTTCATAGCTCAATAGTCACAAAATTCTTGAGCTGATGAATATATTAACCAAAAATATTCTATTTGTACCTTATTTTAATTTCTTGCATTTTGATATTGACTTCTTACTTCAACCTAATAACACCTAGGCCACATCTAACTCTCACCATACTTTGTCCTCGCGTTCTGGATTCTTAACTCACTATGTAACTCTCAGGTGAGATGTTTTGCTGTTGCCTAGCGCCTAGGTATCTATTCGTAATTTTAAACGCACTTTCTGAACCATGATAATTATAATAAGACAGATTATAAATATTGGGCAAATCTACATAGTGGAATGTGAAGGAGAAAAAACAATTTTGGAATGATGAACTTGCCCACATACATTAAGGGGTCATTTGAAAGTTGCGATTATTAAATAGATGAATTTTTGTGAACGCATGTATAATATTATACATATATTGATGAATTTGATGCATTGTGTAATACAGTGTTTGGTATGTGTGATTGTTTGTGTCGCATCAGCTAATGTTGAGATAAAACAATCTCAACTCAACAATCTCACTTAAAAGCTGACATATAACAAAAACTCATTTTGAGTGATAGTTTCTGTCACATCACAGAAACAATCAATGTATTTTGTCTACTAAAAAAAACGATGCATTCTAAACAATACAAATATACTAACAATTTTTACTAAAAAAAATATATACTAACAATCTCACAAAAACAATTGCAATTTTCAAATAAACCTAAATTTGATCAAAACTTTTGACCCAATGAAATATCTTCCTAGCTATGGCAATGACTACAAATACAATACATTTCTAACTTCATTTTTAGTAGCTAGGCACTCCATCAAACTTGTCTCTTGTTATATTGGCCTTTTGTTCTTTCCATTTATCCATTTTTCTTCTTTTTGTGGGGTTCCCTACATTGACAATAACTTGCTGCTATTGTATTTTATGGCAGTAATGCTCTGTGTACATTGACAATAACAAATACTATATATTTACCATATACTATGAAATAATACATCAATTAATAAGGAAAAAAGAAGAAGTAAAAGGCAGAAAATACAACAGTAGCAGAAAGAACAAGGAAGAAGAAGAAGAAGCTTCTTTCCTCTTTTGTAACCAAATTTATCCAACACAGAACCTCACCATTATCCCAAAAGAAAGCTTGAATCTTTCAAGTTTCAACCCCAACCCGAGGAACACAAATCTCCCACTTATTCAAACCCTTTTCAATAATCAGTGAAGCACCAAAAAAGAATCAGTAGAACATAAGCCTTTCTTCTGTCCTGTTGTCATCAAACAGTAACAAGCTGTTGGTGTCGTTGTTGTTGCCACTACTTGCGCTCATCAGCTGCCTAATTTCCTCTAAACCATATTCCTCCAAGCTGTTGTTTTTCATGATTTGGTCACTCCATGTTCCACTCTGATCATTACTGAAACTGGTACCATAATGACCATCAGCAGCAGGCCCCTGCTGCTGCTGATCATGGAAACTGCTGATGATCTGCAATTGCTCGGCGTTGTTGTTGTTGGAGCTTCCATCTGAAGAGCTGCAACTGGGTTCAGTGCCACCTGTCCCAAACACCAACACTCCATCCTCCTTGACCTGCTGCTGGTAATATTGTTGTTGCATAGCAGAAGCGTTGAACGAGTTGTTGTTGCTGCTGCTGCTCAAGGAAGGACTTGATGATCTGAACATTGTTGGAGATGAGGATGGGATCATTGTTATTTGGTCTGATGGGATCATTGGTCCATAATTTGTTAGCTGGTGATGATGAAAGGGTAGTTTTCTTTGATGGTGGGATGAAGAATTGGGGAGCAAACCCATGAGTTTCTTCTTCAGCTTGGTGTTCCAGTAGTTCTTTATATCGTTATCAGTCCTGCCTGGCAATTGTGCTGCTATAATTGACCACCTGCAGCAGCAGGAATTGTGTTTGTTTTTTTTCATTTGTCCATTGTTCAAAATCAAAATTTTCCATGGATAGTAAGAGGATTAGGATTAGGAGAGAGGAGAAAACATGTGATTTAGTATAGCAAAAGGTAAGGATTATATTGTTACCTGCTTCCAATGTTAGCATAAAGGCTGCAGATGATTTTGTCTTCATCATCAGAGAATTCTCCATGCCTGATATTGGGTCTCAAATAGTTGAGCCACCTGAGCCTGCAGCTTTTCCCACATCTCTTGAGACCTGAAGGAAGAAAGAAAGAAGAAAGACATTGGGCACATGAAACCTTAAACTGATAGAAACAAGAAAAACCATGTAGCTAGGAGGTGTTTGGTTTTCATGTATGAAGATGGGGGGGAAGTAGAATGACTGACCAGCTTTTTGAGGGAGAGAAATCCAGTTTCCACCTGTTCCATTTTTGTGGATGTATTCCTTGAGCTTATCATCCTCTTCAGGAGACCATGGCCCTCTCTTTACATTTGCCTTGTCACAACAAGGTGCTCTTCCCATTTTTGGTCTGTTGATATGATCTTCTTCTGATGGATCTTTCTTCTGCCTTTTGCCTTTTGTGGGTTTTGTATGGGTACCAAATGACAACTTGCAATATAGGGAGGAGGGAGGGAAGGAGGAAGAAAGTGGGATGTTAATTATGAAGGCCTTTTGTGTTTCTTGAGGAGAAGCTGTGTGATCTGTTCTAGCAAATTGGTAGGATACTTAAGGACAATTGGGATTAGAAATATAACAGCACAAGTCAAAGGTACAGGCTTCCCCAATTTCAATCATATGTTTTTTTTTTTGTTTAATGTCTCTTTCATCCATGTCTATCCTTTGTTGATTAACCAAATTACTAAATATTTTCTTCTCGCCGACCATTACTGCTGCCCTATTGCTCGGAAATGAAGAAATAGGAGGAGCAAGTTCTTTCATTCTTCTGTAATGCTAGCTGGTCGGACGAGTTGAAACGCAAATAAATGAACTAAGTGCATTAGAGTAAATTTAATTTACTTAGGAGAAGGAATAGCAATGCCCTTTTTAAGGTTAATATTATTTGAAGACTTGTACTATATGATTTTTGTCATTGTGCCTCAATTTTTTCAATATAACACTTTTGTCCCAATGTTTTTGTCTCCGTTAATTTTGAATCTCAATAGTTAATGATCAATGGGTTGACCAATGATATGGTAGTTGGTCATTTTTGTGTGCAAAAATATTTTAAGTTCGAATTTAAACTAAAGAGATATGCTCAGTGAACATATAATGGAGTATCAAGTATTTAGAAAGTAGGAGATGAATGTTAACTATTATAATAATCATATTATCAATTTTATTAGGACTAGGTAGCATTTAGGTTACTCGAGGATAATCATATTATCTGACAAAATATAATAATAGATTAGGACTAGGTAGCATTTATGTATCGGTTAGAATACGCAAATAAGATAGAATATGTATGGTTTTGTAATTTTTCATAACGACTCTCCCACCTCTCCCAGTATAATTGTATGTTGCTCCTAGCTATATAAACTCACATTCTTCTTTGATAATCAATATAAATTTTCTGGACTTCAAGCATAAACGTTCTGGACTTCCTAATCCAGCTAGTTCATATTCTTAATCACCCTTTAGAGAATCGGGGGCAATGTTTGGTTTCACAACTCCTCCACAAAAGAGATTATGTTGTTTGGGGGAATTCCATGACTCTTGTTATTGATGAGAATTGTTAGATGGCCTTTCATAATGGGTAGTGGTTCGCTCTAGCTACAACATTTCCAATTGACGATAAAGTATAACCTAAGACCAGGCGTAGTATAGGGTAAGCAAGTAATAAAATTTATCGTATCAAGGGGATCTAGGCTTACCTTACTTCAGGTTTAGTGTTCGTTATCTAGCCAACCTAGAATAGTGATTAAGAAGACTAAACTAACTAACCTAGCTAATTACAAGGTAAGAGCTCTCTTAGGTTTGAATCCCCCTAGTTTCATCAGTTGATCGATGTTGAGTACCATCCTAACTCGAACGACTCACTACCCTACCATTAGGAGATGGACTCCCTCAGGACGGACCCGGAACGATGAAATGATGGATGGGTGATGCTCTGTTCAACCTAGGGCAAACCTATACCTAGGATATCGATCCAATCGATTCTCTCAGGAATTAACCGGACGGTATAGGATGAGGAGAGGATTATCTCCCTCCTAGGTCGAAAGTTTAAATGACATGATAAGGAATCCAAACTCAAGTCATTCATGAAAAACCATCCAACACATAGATGAATTCAGCAATCAAAACATAGAATGTGTCACTTACACTAACACATATCCAAAAGCTAGAACCTAGGGTTCATCAACCTAAGAGAAGAAGGTTTACTTCATAGAGAGGAAAGATGGTTTAGTTCATAGAGAAGACTACACTAACTAACCTAGCTAATTACAATGTGTGAGCTCTCTTAGGTTTGAACCCCCCTTGTTCCATCAGTTGATGGATATTGAGTACATCCTAACTCGAACGACTCACTAACTTATCGTTAGGAGATAGATCCCTTGGGGCGGACCCAAACGGTGAAATGATGGATGGGTGGTGCTTTATTCAACCTAGGGCAAACCTATATCTAGGAGATCAATCCAATCGAATCCCTCGGGGATTACCCAGACGATATAGGATAAAGAGAGGATTATATCCCTCCTAGGTCAAAAGCTCAAATGACATTATAAGGAATCCAAACTCAAGCAATTCATGAAAATCCATCCAACACTTCCCGCCTTACAATACGGTGGAGTTTCGAAGAAAGATCACTCACTTTGCTCAAGTGGAAAATGAAACATTGAGAGATGCTTGGGAGCTCTATACCGAACTCTTCCTTCAAGCCCTCACCATGGTTTTGATGAAGAGTTCAAGATTGAAACCTTTTACAACGGTCTCAACCAAGAGGACCATAAGCTCATTGATTCCTTGTGTCAAAGGAACATGCTCAACAAGATACCCCGACAAATGACCGACTTGTTTGAAGAAATGGCGACAAAGGGGTACAATTGGGGCATGACAAAGAGAAGAAGATGGACTCGTGAGAAAGGAGTTCGTACTACCGAGGCAAGCCCTTCACTTGAGGCAAAGATTGATGGGTTGATTAAGGTGTTATTGAAGGATAGAAACAAAGGGAAGAGCCAAGTGATGGTATGTGGATGGTGTTCAAACCAACCACTTGTTGAAGGAGTGCCAAATTATGATAGAAGCCACTACCGCGGAAGAGAGTCAATTTCATCTAAAATGCTAGGGGGAACAACAACAACACCTTATAGCAACACACAATGTAGTTAAAATTCCGATTTTAATCTTAAAATCTTACAATTTTACGATCTTACCAATGGGTTCCGATCCTGATTTTACTATAAAATCTTTGAACCCTAAAATCCCATAAAATCCAGATTTAAAAATTTAAAATCCTTAAAATCTACAATTTATAAGATTTTGTACGATTCCATGTTTCGTGTCAATTTGAGAAAAATCAGGCTAGTTAGGATGAGTTTTGCTCCTAAACCAGGTCAAGTTCACTTCCCCCGACCTAACGTCATGAACAACACAAACCCAACTCGATAGGCGACCCTAATTAACTTTTTTCCCCTCTTCCTCATCTATTCTTCTATTGCATACCGACACCCAACACTTTTTATCAATGATTTTCCCTACCTCCCAATTAGTTATTAGTTTGTTCCCCACTACCCTCGCAATTCGCCCAATCCCTATTCCCTTGCAAGCTTTTGTTCATCTCCAAACCCTTCAGCACCACCATCCCCAACCTTATTTTCGATCAAAATGGGAATGCATCAATCAATGATTCACCTTTGCGAGCTCATGGTGATCAAAGAAATATGGTTAATGGTGAAAGTACTTCGAGTGATCCTGGGAATAATGATATCATTTCTCAAGCAAATAGAGAATGATTCTATAAGGATGAATGTGATAGTGAGGATAATGATGTTTGGGGGAGTTAATGTTGATCATAACGATATTATGTGATTTTCTACTATGAACTATTAACTAGATTAAATTATTTCTATGAGGTTTCAGGTTGCTTATTTGTGTGTTTATGGTATGTAAAAGAATAAATTTATGGATTTATTTTGTTTATTTAACATACAAACTTATCTTGGGAAGTAATTAAGTTATATTTGGTTGACTGGTATTTAGGATATGCATTGTTATTACTATCTAGTGTTTTAAGTGTTTATTTTAATATGAACCTTAAAATCTTACGATTTTACGATTTTAATCTACGATTCCGATTTTACCTAGAATCACGATTTTGACTACATTGGCATACCAGCTAATCCGAGGCCACTAGGTTTTCAAAGGACTCTGGATTTTCAAGGGCCTCCGGTGGATATCAACCAAGACCCTTCATTTCCTCAACCAAAGCCCCAATTTCAAGCCACAAACTTTCAATCACAACAACATCAACCACAAGGTGGGCAAGGGTATCAATAAAAACAACAACTCGACAAGATCACCAAACTCGAAGATCTTGTGACCACCTTTGTGAGTTCAAATTCTCATAAATTTGAGAAGATTGAGAAGTTCATGGAAGTTGTAACCAGCAAGTTTTCCTTGGTTGAGGTGGAACTTAGAATCCATCAAGCGATTCTTCGTAACTTTGAGACTCAAATCGGCAATCTCACTGAAGTCCTCACTAAGAGACCTCCATGAGCCCTACCTTCCCAAACCGAAGCAAACCCCAAAGTTCCAAGGACGGTGTTGGATGCCATTTTTCTAAGAAGTGGGAATGAGACTCAAAAGGTTGAACCGAAGAAAGTAGAACAAGAAGAAACCCCTCCAACGATGATCGCACAAAATCCTAAGGACGCAAAGGAAGACGAGGCTAGGAAGGCATCGGCAATGCCACCTCCAGAGGCTGAGTACAAGTCTCACCTTCTTTTCCCCTCAAGAGTTCACAAGGCCATTTGGAGACGAAATTCGGCAAGTTCTTGGAGATGCTCAAGAAGCTCCACATCTTAGTTCCATTAGGCTTTGGCACAAATGCCAAAGTACGTCAAGTTCCTCAAGAAGCTTCTCACCAAGAAGCGAAAGTTTGAAAACCTCGCCTCTGTCATCATTCAGAATAAGCTTTCCCATTAGCAACAAGATGCAGGGAGTTTCACTATTCCCTTATGCACTAGTGCATTTCATATAGAGAAATTGTTGGCGGATCTAAGAGCGAGCATTGATGTCGTGCCTTTCAATCTTTATCAAAAGTTAGGCCAAGATGAACTAAAGACCACTAAGTTGAGTATGGCATTAGCCAATAGGTCTACGGTTCACTCAAAAGGCATTGTGGAAAACGTCCTAGTGCAAGTGGGCAAGTTCTATTATCTGATTAATTTTATTATCCTGGATATTAGTGAGGATATTAATATGGACTCCCTTTCCTTGTCGTCGTCAATGCATTATTCGATGTGAATGAGTGAACTTTGATTTTGAAAGATAATGAGAATATTACCTTTACAATTGATAAAAAAGATACGTCTATGCTTGTAAGTGAAATTATATATGTTGTTAAAGAGGGTGAGGGCAAACGCTAATTGTAATGTCTTGTGTTATTCCTCAATCTCGTCTCTTCTACATCTTTGTTTCCACACATTCCAGAGATTTACAGCATTAACTACATAATCTTTAAGATGATGGCATACAATTTGGTTGAAGTGGTCAACAAACGCCTGAAAATGCTATCCCTTAAAAGGCCAAGGCTAAGCCAAGCAACTGAGTTTGAAGCTCGCTCAGTAGCTGAGACCAAGCTGGAGGCCAAGAGCAGCGTGGATGAGGAAAAGGGTCATTATCCCACTCCCCAATATCCCATGTACATTCCTCAACCCTGGATTTCCCTGCCAAAATCATCCAACCCAACCATATTAAAAACAAACCAGCTAAAGAGTGGAGACTCTTTATCTATCAGAAACTGCACTAGTTTACAGACCTCAAAGAGTGAAGGCAAAACTGTTTGCAGTGTCAACAGAGCCAGCCCAATGATTCCTGTCACAGCATGGGGACTGCCTCAAACAAAGGAAAAACCCAAATTTAGACCTGCTTAGCTTTCCCCATTTTCATGATTTGATCACACATTTGAGCAAATTTTTGCTCCTACCTCTCCAAGATGGGTCTGTCAGAAGTGAGCAAAGAAGTAACTCCACCGGTGGCACCAAGTGCAAAAAAGAAGAACATCCCTGCTAGCAACTTTGGATGCAAGTCTTTGGCTTTCGCCTTCTCCTCCTGTCAATCATAGTCCTCATGTTAAACCCACATTCTAGTTCTTTCCAAACTGGTAACCATGACAGTTATATAGTCTTGGGATCTCACCACATCGTCAGAGTATCGAATCCGGAAGCCGAGGAACGTCCCATACCCGCCCATTGCAAACAGCACCACAGCCTGCAAAATTTTCAGGACATAATGGAATGGACAAAGCTATTAAGGAATGAAGCTGAAGGAGAATGAATGTTCTCATGGTAATCTTATTACCATATTGCCAGGGTGACCCCAATGGACAAGCCAGCCAGGGAGATTCAACGACTGCACAATCTCCACGAAAGGTCCGAACACAGACCTCACTGCCCCAGCTGCGTGTTTTAATCCAGTGTCCCCCAAACCCATGCACACACATATTTCATACATTTTATTAGATTGTGAAACCAGTTAGAAAAAAGCCATTTGTGGGTGCCTGTTCTTTCCTTACCTCCTGGCAATGCAGCTAAAAAGAGGAGAGGCAGGGGAGATACAGAGTAGAGCAATGTCTCTCCTCCGCCCTCTTCTTCTTCCTCCTCCTCTTCTACAACCACTTTTTGCTCAACAGAGCAACACTTCTTCGCAGCCAAACAGGAAATGGGTCGGCTGCCATTAACCGAGGAAGACACTGCGCTGTGAAATGAGAGGGATGGGATGACGAAGAGAGTTGTAGAAGTAGAGCTATTGGGGAATGAAGAAGAGGGACGGTTCAGTGACAGAGCGGTAGAATGGGCCAGAGCAGCACTGACAGAAGCCATTGATACAGAGAGATAGGATACAGGAGGAAAAAGAAAGAAAACCGAGGAGAAGGATACTCCAAACTCCAAAGACTGCTGCACGATGGGCGATGAGTAGCTAGTAGAAAAGATAAAAGAGAGAGAACAAGTAGGAAATAATAAGGCCGGCCTTTAGACACGCAGCCAACACACGATCATTAGAAAAAGAGGATCTTTCTTTCTTTCTTTCTTTTTCCTTTCCACTTCCCGTGGACCCATTTGTTCGTCGCGTAACGCCAAAAAGTAGGTATGAGGGGCAAGCGTGAAATTCTAGAAGCAAATGAAATTCTTAACAAATCTGAATCCAAGTTGGATTGTCTTTTTCTTATAGTTCAGAGAAGAATCATGAAACTTACAACTTACTTTTGAGTTTCATTTGAATCAGAATGATAAATATGCAGAACTAGGATCAAGACATGATAAAGGAGAGTATGAAGGATGGAATTTGTCAAAGGGGTTATTATCTCATTTTCCATATCCAAACAACTGATCCATCCAAGTTGACAGGGTTACATGAGCAGAATGCCTCGTGTTTTCTGTTACCCCACGCTCCTAACAGATACTACAGAGAAACTGCTGGTCTATATAGCATGTCTGAAATGGGGGTGGAATGTACACTGATGATAACTACTGTGGACTCTTTATACAAGCTTTTAAGACTGTGCTACCTCAATTGCTGTGTCTATGAACAGTAACAGACCGCCGAGTCCTCCAACTCAATCATCTCTTGCAACTCGAAGAACGTTGTTACAGATTCCACCTCGGGTAACTGACTCCATCTTATCATCGGTTCTCCATTCGCCATCCTCTAAGAATTTTATCTGCATTAAGGTAATGTTGATGGTTTCAATTCGACAATATCGCCTTCTGGCTGAGGCTCTACATGAAAAAACTGAGTAATAGGGTTCACTGCAGATGGACTCTAATTCGGTCACACACCTCGTATACACCAGGATAAAGCCACAGTGTTGTAGACCAAATATTCGACTTCCTGGAGTAAATAACAAAGATAGTTGCAAGGGGTTAGTAAACAAACGCAGAAATGAACAAATGGGTACCTGGTGTTACCGAAAATCCTTAAGAGAGGGTTAACAGTTTGCCTTTGGATTGCTACAACTATACATGAGTAAAAGTGAGAGAAGACTGAACTTTATAAGAAGAGAAGGGAACTATCACCTTGACTCAGTGATATTTTCATTTGAAGAAGATGGCTGAGGATCCTTCATAATTTTGCTGCCAAGTGAGATGAAGAAAGTTGATCCAAGAACATGCTGAACAACAGACCTGAATGCTTAGGATACTTATAGAAGAGAAGGGATCTATCACCTTGACTCTGCAATATTTTCATCTGAAGATGGCTCAGTATCCGTCTTAACATTGCTGCAAAATGAGACAACATAATTTTGATCCAAAATTATGGCAAACTGCAGACCAGAATCCTTATGATATTTATAGAAGAGATGGGATCTATTACCTTGACTCCGTGATGTCTTCATCTGAAGATGGCTTGGGATCCATAACAATTTTGTGATGCCAACCATTGAAGCTACCTAAAACCTCCACACTTTGACCATCACCATGGTACTGGATTGTAACCTGATAAAGTTACACAAATCACTCAGCAATGATTTTGAGACATAATTTCTTCGAATTGCTTTTTCAAAATTACTGAGAAACAAACTGGAAAGACGACCAATTATAACCTACCTGCCAAAAGAATTTGAATTAATTAACAAGGGAGAGCTACAGGAGAAATACCTGTACAAGGCCTTTCAAACTTTCTTCAGCAGCAGACAATTCTGCATCTTTCTCTGCCGGAAGGTTTCGGGCCTTTGTAATCTCCGTTTCAGCCTTCCTTTGCAGATCAAACAAAGTAAACTGCACAACACCAGGAAGTGGACAGTTATTTACACATGCAAGCATTCGGAACCATTTCTTTCATAAGTAGATAACAAAAAAGGCACACAATCTACCGTTTCCTTCTCAATCAGTTCCTGCAACCGGATCAACTCCAACTCCTTTTGTTGCTAAACAGATACATGATAAAAGTCAGCTCATGTAACTAAACTCCACGCATTAAAACGAATCGAGAAATTTATAGATACCGTCACTAATTCAATATCCTTTATCTCAATCTGTTGCTCCCTTCTGTCGGTCTGTACCACAATACATAAAATGACAGCAATCAATTTAGAAATAAGCAGCCTAGAAACCCTGTCAATTTAAACACCAATAGTAACAATGGGTAGTCACACAAAAAAGATAACTACCTCAACAACGAAGTCTTTCTCAAGATCAGAGAGGGTTTGAGATTTAGCAGATGGATCATCACTCCTACAATTAATAATGTAAATATGAGATGCATGTGGAATATTTAAAGGAAGGCAATTGCGAAATACAAAATCTATAATACAGTTCTGAAACCAAAAACAACAACACAAAATGAAGCAAAATCCCCCAATAAAGAGCAATACAGATAAATGGTGCGAGAGACACTAGACATGGAAAATGCGAATAGTCTGCCACCTTTTCAGTCTTCTAGTTTATCAAATGATTTTCCAAAATCATGCATAGAAAATGTAAGAACAAGTTGCATGTAGAAAGGCAAGAATAAAGGTTAGCCGGAATTTTAGAACCTTTCAAAGGGTGTTCAGCACACAGCAGCAACTGAATTTTGTCACCACAATGACAGGTCTTCACATAAACGATATCACATTTTTCAAAAAAAGAAAATTGCATTTCAAGAGAATGGCCAGAATATGAACCTGAAAGCTTGCTTAACAGCGAGCTGAGGAGTAACTGTTGTGGGTACATTTTCACTAAAAGCATTACTGGGGCTGGAAACTGCATCTGCAAAATCACCCATATAAGTGGTCTTCGCCAAATATCTAGGGTTTCAAAAGCACGCTCATCATATTCCCAAAGACATGAGCATCATTTAGTACATTCTGGACCAGTGACAGTATAGTGCACATAGTTTAATAAGAAACGTGACTGAATAGAGGTGTTCAATAAGCATTCTGCAGCAAAATCATCAACTTAGATCCAAATATAATACATAAAAACAGGACAAATTGTTCTATTTCATACATTCGCAAGTCCAAAAGTAACATGAAAGATCTACATAACTGGATTGATCAATGTCATCACATTATCATGTCATAACTTTGGTCTCTTTTCTTCCATTTCTATGTGAATTTTCAAAAGGATCAAACCTATCCCGAATTGCACAAATTCCAGAGAAATTCAACTGATTATGTTGCTCAAATACAAGTTGTAGCCCCAACCATGATTTCTATTAAAAGTACTCAACATATGGAGAGAACAAATTATGTGCTGGTTCTTTCTGTGGAAGACTGAGCTAACAGTGACTTCTATCAACATTACCTTCAATAGCACCTAAATCTCCAGTATGAATAAACTTCGCCACCTTCTCCTCGAATGATTCATTAGCCATCAAATCCATCGGTGTCGAACTAGGATTGTCCACATCAAGATCTACAAAAATACTAAACGTGAATAATAGGTCTCATTTCATATTTTTGTGGAATGTTTTCACACATATCGTGACTTTCTCAACCTACCCTTTTGAACATCTGATTCAATAGGCACCTGAGCGTTGTCACTACTCCTAAAACCTGGATGCATGTTTTGCCCCTTCTGATCCTCATCATTAAACAGAGCCTCTCTTGAGGACCAATCATCCATGTTCAAGCCTAAAACTCTTCATCCTTCACAACTCTAGCAGATTTAGCATGCTGCCCTGACTTACATAGGGAGGATGATGTTGTGCAATCTTGACAAGTTATTTTAGCCCATTCATTTTCATACCCATGTTCAGCGGAGTAGCTGTTAACTGGTGACTCTAGAGGACTGGATATATTTTGATCTTTACCATTATTTCTACTATCTCCAGTCATATCATTTGCATTCTCAGATAACCTTTTGAATAAGGAAGAGGTATCAAGAAGACTGGAAACTGAAACTATAACGAAAAAAGTAATCAAGGAAAAGTCAGGGAAAACGTGTTTTGACCTTCTGAGGACTCCTCAACCTCTAGTGAGGGCGAATTAACAAGAAGCTCTCTTATCCGCTTATATCCTCTACGTCTTACAACATTGGCAAGGTCACTTCTGCAAAATGCATAAATTTGGAAGAAATAAGCGCAAACAGATTGTTAAACTGATCATCACAGAATTAGGAGTACTAATTTCACAATGCCAAAAACGAAAAGACCAAGCAAAGGATGTGGAAGTAAAATTGAAACGACTAAGAATACACCAATGCTACAAGAATGCCACTTACCTACAAACTGATCTATCTCCTTCCTATTAGATAAAGATTGTGGAAATTCTAATCTTGATCATTGCAAAAGGTAAACAAGACTTCCATGAATTTCGCAATCAATCGAACCCACCCAGAACCAAGAAACGCAAAGAAATGAAATCACCTCCCATTCTCCGTAAGCTCCTTTGTGGAGGGAACGTGGTCTTCTGGGAGCCCAGCAGCACACAAGAACTCCCGGATCTCGTTACGAAGCTCATCATTGCTCTTTGCCTTCTTTCTGCCCCGAAATAAATAAATCGCCAAACCAACGATCAGGGAGAAAGAAGGGGGAAAAGAAACAAGAAGCCAGTGCTGCAAAGATTTCGCGCATGGAGAAAAAACCTGGTCGTTCCAACGGAGCAAGCGCAAACCAGTGAACGCTCGCGAGAAGAGAGGTGGTGGAGGTTGTGGCGGTGGTCATGGATACTCCAGGTGAGGCCATCGCATTGCAGCAGAAATTGCTGTTGCTTGGTGAAGAAGAAGAGATTACGGGGAAGGAGCGGCGGAAGAAAGCACTGGAACTGACAGAGTGTCGCCATGGAAGAATAACAGATTTTGCAGCTTGGAAGCGGAAGAGCAGTAAGATTTTTCTGGGAGGGACGCTGGTGGAATTTGAAGTGATGATTCTGTGCCGGGAAAGAATGAACTTGAGAAGCCCTGACCTGAGCGATGGAGGGTCAGAGTGTGTATATGAAGCAAATTTCACCAACGTCTGTGCTTCGGGTTAGTTTGGGCCTCAGATTCCAAGGCGTTGGGCTTCGGGTTGGTAACTGGCTGATGAAACCAATAAGGCTAGAATCCAAGGTGTTGGGCTTCTTATCGGTCACGAGTTTAACAAAATTAGCCCATTACCATCTACAAAATCTTGTGGCATCCAATCCTATCCAGACAACTGGAAATAATTTATTGATTTCTATTCGGTAATTAGCGTTTTTCATTAATGCTCACTCAATAATTTTTTGATTGGATATGGGTTAGTGGGAAAGATATATATGTATAATGGCACTTAAAGTGTTCTTAGTGAGAAACAAAAATCAAAAGAAAAAGTCGCATTAATAAATTATTATTTTTATTAATGGAATTCCATATAAAAAAACATTATTTTAATTTATGGATTTTGATTTTCTGTCATCGATAGCGAAATTCCTACGAGTGAATGCATACCACACTATCATCTCGATGCATATTAGTATTGGGCAAATGCATTCCAACAAATGCATACTGGTATTTTGCTTGAATGAATAACATTATAACAATACCAAATGTATAACAAACATCCAATGCATACTAGTAAATACCATATGTGTTAAGCATATTATCTGATCTTATTATCATTTGAATACCATATTGTACTTTGTCATTTCTTGTTTTACCCAAATTAGTGAATTACACGTGGAAGTGTATAAAAGCTTGTAACAAGGTTGTTGACAATGTATTGAATTGCAAAGTTTTATTCTACAATTTAGTGAAGAACAAAACCATGGCCATCCTGTGGAATAGTCACAATTTTTGGGGAAAATCACATAAATCATCACTCTTTTATTCCACATTCTTAATTTTTCATGGCATCAAAGTTTCCTTGAGAGGGCAACACTGATCGCAACAAGAACATTGTTACCAATGTTAATTCAATCCCGCTTAGTTCTCCCCTCTAGTTACATCCATCGGAGAATCCAAACTAAATTTTTGAGAGTGATCTCTTGAATTGTCTGAATAATGATCAATGGGTGAAAAATATATCCAAATCCTAATCGCCAAGATTAAGATGTCTTGTGTGGATTATACTCTTCCACTTTCGTCAACAGGTTTTGGGATCAAAGATGATGATTGGACTAAGTGTGATGCTATGGTTAAACACCATAATGGCCACAAATCAAAAAAAGACGTGCCTATTTTTCTCTCAGGATCGAGCATAATCTAGCTTCGTATGAAAGCTGATGGGTTAAAAGAAGTGCGCTTGAGCTTAAATTTGTCGAGCAATTCAATAAGCCCAAGATGAAGTTGTCCACCAAAAATCAGCCAATTGGAGGAAGAAAAGCCACAGTGGAGGTGTCCGCCGCCGGTCCCAGTCCATTGAAGATTCTGGAATATGCTTTACTTCGACCCCAAGTCAAGAAATCTGCATCATAGTGGTACCATGGGCTTTCAATGCATCCTATATGATATGTCATTGCCTCATGTATTTATGCCTAGTTGGACGCAATTATGCATGCATATGTGAGATCGATGCTTGATACCTGTGATCATCAATGATATATACTATTGTTATGGTTCATATAGGCCCTAAGTAGTAGTTAATGTGATATCCTTACTTCCTTATTTGATTGATTAGTCTAATGGTATGAAGCGAAAGCATGCATTAACTAAGTGTAGTTCCTTTCGCATGTGGCGAAAGGTCAGTTAGGAATGATTTAGTGGAAGGGGTAGATTACATGATAGAAGATGCATCAATGCGTGACATTAATCATATTGTATGCATGATCATCTAGATGAAACTATCCAAACAATAATATTTACTACTTGATTTGTGCAATTATTTACTTAATTTTCTTTCTTTGTTAGAATAGAATATATAAAACCACTAAACATTGGGAACCTAGCTAAATCATCATATTGACTTTTATTTGCATCATCATTCGAACATAATGTGTTAGTTTCAAAGTAGTTGCTATTAAAAGACTCATGAAATACGACCCTTGACATACCTAGGATTTTATTACTTCAACTGCAATACTACTAAATATTGCACATCAAGGACTCGTGTTATTCTCTATCATAGGAAGAGGACATAATCTTTTGGAGGAAAGCATCAAATGTAAGGTTCTCAACTCGGTCAGCATACTCGATGAGCACCCCCATCTTGGACGTCGATAACCTCTCCTTTTTATCAGCTCATCTGGAAGTTGAAAGTCTTGGAAAGAGTCAAAGTGATCTCCATTTGGATTGCAACCAAGAACATCCTACCGAGCAACATAAATAAGAAGTTTCTCCAATTTACAAACAATGATAGCTTCCCCCAATGTCAAGGTGAGCCAGGAACCAATTCATATGTTAAAATATCTTCTCCCAAGATCGTGATGGACGCGAAGAAATATTAGCAACACATCCATGAGTACCTAGCGCGGTTAATGGTGCAACTTCTTCAGTATTGTTTGTTGGTTCATTAGGAATAACAAGAATAATAAAGTGTTTAGAGTAACTAGGCTTTACAATCCTTCCCACATGAACTTTATTGTTCATAAGTTAGGATTGGATTACAACTTGGAACTCAGCCACGAAGTTGACCTCAGATACTCAAACCGCTCAAAGTATGGATGCAGTAGTAAGCTTCAACAAGACTAGCATGACAAGTGATCTGGAACAAGACTAGGCAAAGCAAGCTACAATACTCCAGGACCCATGACAGTTCCCAAGAGAGGCACCTAGGTGGTTGAAGGAGCAACGACTACCATGAAGAATAGGGTAGCAGTTCTTTGTAGCACTTATCAGGTAGACAGTTCTCCATGGTAGATACCATCCCTTGCCTATAAATAAGAGGAAAGGTCGATAGATACAAGGGTTGTCAAAACCAAACAATTGACGCATATGTCAAGTTTTATATTTTGTCTATAAATGTAGCCATAGTTGTAGTCAGGAGCACTCGCTGAACTTCCATAAGAGTAGAAGTAATTTAACTTATGTCCTGTTTAGTATAGTTTTCACTTTGTTGTGCTTTAAGAAGGTTAGAGAAGCAACCACAACCCCAAGCACAATACAAAGTAACAATGTGGTTATCTCCTAAAATGTAAACTCATGAACTGAAAACCAAAATAAAACATTGGTTGAGGGAGATCTTGAAATCTTTGCTTGTTGGATATGGGTCATGGATTTGGTACCCATATCCCAAGCTTGATGGATTTAACATAAGTCCATTGTTTGTTGAAGGGTGCTAAATCCGTGGGGTCCACGGATTTGTTCTTTATTTTGGAACCAAATCCGTGTACCCCACGGACTTGTAAATCCCACATATTGATTTGGAATTTGCAAATCCTTGATGGTTAGTTATTTATTTAACAAATCCATCACAAATCATCATCAAATCTATCATGCAAACATTAGACTCTTCAAATCCATAATTCAATAAATCCAACATAAATCCCAAGGTTTTTATTGGCCAAAACCCTCATTTTTCAAATCCAACAAGCAAACGACCCCCTAGAACTCAGGGAGCATTTTTTTTTTGCTTTTATTGGTTTTCCCTCCTGAAAAAATTTCAAAATCAAGGTTTTTCGTATCCTGTTGGGGAATTGTTTTGATTTGGTGGTCAGGGAGGCATGGTAGTTTGTAGGAATTGAGCAAGACTCGACGAAGTTCACGCCTCCAAACACTAGGTTCTAGCAAGGAAGCTCTTGCAACAGCTGGAGCTCTCAAACCATATTCCAATCTTCGATGTTTTCACGTGATAGTGATTGCGGGAGCAATTGAAAGCGTAGAGTGTTGCTTGCTTGAATCTGGCGGTGGTGCTCGTCGATTTTCAGCGATCCTGTTGATTGAGGATCGTCGGAAGCAGTGAGCAAGTGAGATTTGTTCGCCGAAAGTAGAGGACCAACGAAGAAGAGACTAGAATGATTGTTTGAGGGTTCGTGAGATTAATGAATGGCGGTGGAATTGGTGGAGGAGGAAGAGAAAGAAGGGGAAGATAGATACAGATCTGGTGAGGGAGAGGGGGGAACATGATAGATCTGTCAAAGAAGAAGGGTGAATTTTCAAACGGAAAAAGGGTTCGAGCAAGGGAAACGCATGCAAAGCAGTATTCTTTTTATCTGATTTGGGCGAATCCGTTTCACAACAAAAATTAAAAACTCAACTAAGCTCTTTTTGTTTCTTCTTCGTTTCTACAATTGTTAAGAACACAACAGAAAACAAAAACAAGCAACAATAGTAAACATGTCTTTGTAATGTCTGCATCAAATTTTTATCATTTTTCTTTACAAGTAATCATAGTCGTAGTCTGGAGCTCTCACTGAACCTCCATAAGAATATAAGTAATTTAATTTAGTTTTCATTCCAAAAAGCACATCAAATCAAGCATCCTCGCTCAATTTTTATTTGAATAAATGTGGCCTATCTTAGTAATTGTTATCCAAAACAATCAAGTTACATTCAATTCAATTCAACACGAGTTTTCACGAGTTAAACTTGCCAAACTAATGGTTGAGGGGCATCGACACGACAACCATTCATTTAGTAAAAGAGTAAAGCTACTCACAATCTCAATAGTAAGTTGTTGCATACTAAACAACCAAGCTTTGATGATTTCTTAGAAGGGTAGATCTAAAATTAGGAGAGAGAAAAAAAAAAAAGAATCTCCACACCCTTTAAAACTCAGAAAACGTAAGTGGCCAGCAAAGAGGCTAACATGGCACCGCCAAAATCCAAAGTAAACAACGAAAATTAAACCCAAAAAAAAAAAAAAATCACAAATCTAAGATCTGGGAATGGCCGAATGCTTAATTGAAAGTTTGGTCACTCGAATTGCTATAAATTTTCACGTTTGCCACTCAAATTAATTTATTTCATTTATAGTCACTCGAATTAGTTGAACAGTTCAAGTTCGGTCACTCTCCGTTAACCTCCGTTAACTTTGACTGACGTGGCGATCAACTCTGACAGTTGACCGTTAAATATGTGACGTGGCAAATAAAAAATAATTAAAAATAAAAAATAAATTTTTAGAAATTACACATCATTATAAAAAAAATTATAATTATAAAAAATGAAAATTGAGGGAACTTCTCACAGCCGCGAAGACGCAGACCTCTCCGACTCCGACGACTACCACTCCGAAACAGAGGATCGCGACGAAGAAGAAGAAGAGTACGAGGATGTTCACTACGACGCCGTCGAGCTCCAGGAGACGCCTCAAACGACTTCTTCGAACCGGACGATCGACGAAATCGACACCAAATTGAAATCTCTGAAGCTCAAATACGGCGACGTCTCTCAGGGAAGTGGCGAGCGTTGCGTCAAGCTCTACCTCCACTTAGGCGGAAACAGTCCCAAGGCGAAGTGGATCGTCTCCGAGAAGTCGGCTCCGTACGCCTTCGTGAAGAGCGGCGGCGGAGGGGAGGACGATGAGGACGAAGGAGGATCTTCCAGCGGTGGAGGTAAGAACAATTCGTTCTGGATTCTCCGGGTCGGTGCGAAAGTTAGGGCTAGGGTTTCGACGGAAATGCAATTGAAGATGTTTGTGGATCAGAGGAGGGTCGATTTCGTCGATAGCGGTGTCTGGGCGTTACGATTCTCGGCGGACGAGGAGTTCAGGAGATTCGTTAACGAGTATCACGATTGCTTGTTCGAGAATGTGTACGGGCTTAAGGCGACCGAGGAGAATAAGGTGAAGGTGTACGTGAAGGAATTCATCAGGTGGGCGAAACCGGAAACCGCCGACAATTCGATGTGGGAGGATGCGGAAGCCGGAGAGGAGAAGTTCACGCCGTTGCGTGCGAATCAAGATTTGATGGAGGAATTCGAGGAGGCAGCTAACGGTGGCGTCCATAGCTTGACTCTAGGTGCTCTTGACAATAGTTTCCTTGTCAACGATCTGGGTGTTCAGGTTTACAGGAACAATCAGAAGGGCATTCATGGCAAGGGCATTTGTGTGATAATTTCTTTTTTTCATTTTTTATAATTATAATTTTTTTTTATAATGATGTGTAATTTCTAAAAATTTATTTTTTAATTATTTTTTATTTGCCACGTCACACATTTAACGGTCAACTGTCAGAGTTGACCGTCACGTCAGTCAAAGTTAACGGAGGTTAATGGAGAGTGACCGAACTTGAATTGTTCAATTAATTCGAGTGACTATAAATGGAATAAATTAATTTGAGTGGCAAACGTGAAATTTTATAGCAATTCGAGTGACCAAACTTGCAATTAAGCCGCCGAATTTTGGTACTTAACACCGACCGAGCAGAAACACATTTAATTCGCAGATCCAGCCCAACTTGTCAATTGAGGCCACTAAACGAAAACATGGTGGGTCCCGCCCATGTGGAACACAAAGGCCCAGCAGCAAAACCGCACCGACAACCACAAAGATTGGATCTCCGATCTGGTGACTAATACCGTTTCGCGCCGTTTCGAAACGCAGCGTAGTCGGTCGCTAGTTGAACTTAGGGATGGCAATGGGTCGGGTTGGGGTGGGTTTTGTCAAACCCAAACCCAAACCCATGGGTTTATCCGTAAAAAAAATCCGGGGTAAAACCCGCTGGGTTTGAAAAACTCAAACCCAACCCAACCCGCTGGGTATCCGCGGGTTCATGGGTACCCGTGAGTTTTTGTGGTAAAAAATTTACAATAACAAGTTTCTTTCAAAATTAAAGTTTAATATTAATTTTCTCATACAAATTATTCATACAAAAAACACCAATCTAGAGCATACAAGCAAACCGCAAATGATCAATACAAATTGTTCAAAATTAAAGATAAACATCTATAAACAATAAGATTAATTGAAAGCTTCTTACTCGTCAACTAAGTTTCTTCACTCTCCACTTCATAATATCAACTTCATTCTAAACAATTAGAAACAACAAATTATATATGTCTCCACAAACATAAAGTGTAGCGGGTTTAAATCCAAACCCGGCTCAAAACCTGTCAACAAAAGTTTTACCCGCGTTGACCGAGTTGGGTCGGGTGGGTACCCGTGGGTTCGGGTTTTGTTGCCATCCTTAGTTGAACCCCAAGTCACAGTCCAACACCAGAAAGAACCTACCGCGAAAGTAGGTGGTCCAAGTGTCGTGGGGCCCATGCCTTTTCTTCACCCACCAAGCACCAACTCTCCGCTTCACCAACCCCACCCCACTCTCGGTTAGGTGGACGCCGTGGGTCCCGCTCACAAATCCAATCCGTAGCCTCCACGTCATCTGAACGCTAAGCGATCCCTCGTGAGCCCGGCCGTAGACGATCCGCCTCGATAGCCCGATATAAACGCGGAAAGCTTTGAGGGAACGAAAAGCGCGGGGAATCAAGTAAAACCTAAAGCAAGAGAGCGAGTCCCACGATTCCGCTCCTCCCTCTCCACTATTTAACCTCCTGTTCGTCTCTGCTCCTGTTTTTCCTTCTCCCCTCGTCTCTCTCTCTCTCTCTCTCTCTCGATCTCAATTTCCCCCTCGTTCTTCTTTAATAAAATCCCTGGTGAGTTTCAACTTTCAATTCCGCTTGTTCTTCCTCTTCTTTTTCTTTTGATCCGATCTTTGATAATGTCGATCTGTAATGCATGTGTTTGTTATGGATGATCTGTCGCTCCCCCGTGTGAATCTGCATCGTTACTTAGCCGAATTTGATTGATTTCTCTGTGTGGAACAATTTCTTTTCCTTGTCGTTGTCGATCGATCGGATCCGGCAGGCGTGACGATCTCAATTGGGGTTATTTCGGATTTTTTTTCCCCCACTGGTGTCGATTACGTGTTTGATGAAATGTCTCACTGTGTTGTTGTGGTTTTTACCTAAAATCTAATTGTGATGGTGGGATGTTTGTGGATCCAGCGTAAACGATATGGAGACTTTCCTCTTCACATCCGAGTCTGTGAACGAAGGTCACCCGGACAAGCTCTGCGACCAGGTCTCCGACGCCATCCTCGATGCCTGCCTGGAGCAGGACCCGGAGAGCAAGGTCGCTTGCGAGACCTGCACCAAGACCAACATGGTCATGGTCTTCGGCGAGATCACCACCAAGGCCAAGGTCAACTACGAGAAGATCGTGAGGGACACCTGCAGGGGAATCGGGTTCGTATCTCCCGATGTGGGTCTCGATGCTGACAACTGCAAGGTGCTCGTCAACATCGAGCAGCAGAGCCCCGACATCGCACAGGGTGTCCACGGCCATCTCTCCAAGAAGCCTGAGGAGATCGGAGCTGGTGATCAGGGGCATATGTTTGGGTATGCTACCGATGAGACCCCCGAGCTGATGCCTCTGACCCATGTCCTCGCCACCAAGCTTGGAGCCAAGCTCACCGAGGTGAGAAAGAACAAGACCTGCCCATGGTTGAGGCCCGACGGCAAGACCCAGGTCACTGTCGAGTACAGGAACGATAACGGAGCTATGGAACCTAAAAGAGTCCACACTGTCCTCATCTCCACCCAGCACGATGAGACCGTCACCAATGACCAGATCGCAAAGGACTTGAAGGAATACGTCATCAAGCCTGTGATCCCAGCTAAGTATCTCGATGAGAATACCATCTTCCATCTCAACCCTTCAGGCCGTTTCGTCATCGGAGGACCTCATGGAGATGCTGGGCTGACCGGAAGGAAGATCATCATTGACACCTACGGTGGATGGGGTGCACATGGTGGTGGTGCTTTCTCAGGGAAGGATCCAACCAAGGTCGACCGCAGTGGGGCCTACATTGTCAGGCAGGCTGCCAAGAGTATTGTGGCATCTGGCCTCGCCCGTCGCTGCATTGTCCAGGTTTCGTACGCTATTGGTGTCCCTGAACCATTGTCTGTTTTCGTCGACACTTACAAGACTGGAAAGATCCCGGATAAGGACATCTTGGTATTGATCAAGGAGAACTTCGACTTCAGGCCTGGGATGATCTCCATCAACCTTGACCTGAAGAGAGGTGGCAACTTCAGGTACCAGAAGACTGCTGCTTACGGGCACTTCGGCCGTGAGGACCCAGATTTCACTTGGGAGAATGTCAAGATCCTCAAGCCCAAAGCTTAAGTCTTTGAGCCAAAATCTTGGTTGTCACTTTCTGAAGGTGGCAGGTTATGATCGTAGCCGTATCAATTTGGATTCTGCTTGCTTTGCGAGGGGGGGAAATAAAGAGGAAAAAGAAAAGATGACGCTGTGGAGGACCCATCGCCTTTGTACTGAGAAGGGGAATGATTGTATTTCCAACGCTGAGAGTCGAAGCCGGGTTCCCAAATCGTTCGATTTTCTTTTTGTTTGGTTCGAACAGAGGTTTTAAGCAAAAAAAAGGATTTGTTGGGTTTTATAGGAGTTTGTTTAGTAGTCTGTCTGTCGTCATTCTTCATTTTGTCTGGTTACAGTCTGTTGTTCTTCTTTTCTGTCTTAAGCAAACTTTCATTGGTTGTTGTTCAGCTCTGCTGCTGCTGCCTTTTACCACGTTAGTGTGGGTTGATAATGATTGAGGATTCATACATTTCAATTTGTAATCAATTTTAGAAGGGGGAAAAATGCGAACTTTCTCTCCCTGCAAATCTTGTTCTATCTATCACAAATTTGCAAAGATTTGTAGCACTCTTACGAGAATTGCAGATTCTTTATTACTCGACGCAAAAGAAAAGAGGGGAAGACAAGGCAAGGAAGGAACTGCTAACCCCAATTAAGTAAAACATAAATCACGTGTCTTGGCGATTGGAAAGAAAACATTGATAACTAATACAATAATGGGTTTGTTTTTGTTGTTGTTCTTCACATCAAGAATGCAACCACAAACGATCGTGGAGGCGCTCTTCTCCTGCACCAATCATCTCGTCGACCTTTTCTCCGTCGCGATAGAAATGGAAGGATGGTGCGTAGCGAATGTTGTTGGTTGTTTCGGGGCACTCGTCGATATCGGCATAGACGAAGGAAAGCTTGGGGAAGTGGTCGCTCAGCCGGAGAAATGCAGGGAGTATCTGGCTACAGGAGCTGCACCTTCGTTACCGCAATCATGCAAAACGAAAAAACAGCAGGGGATGCCACATTAGCCCACAGAAGCAAGCAGCCAGAAGAACACAAAGACGTAGCTCAAAACTCCTCTAAGAGGCATTACATCGAACACCTTGCGTGCGCCCTATTACAGCAAGCAAAAGATAGACAAGAAAATTGGCTTCCTAAAAAGGGGATGGAGATGGAGATGGAGATGGAGAATGAGAAGAAGACGACGAAGGGTACCATGACGCGCCATAGTTGATCACCGCCTGCAACGGCAGAGATAGAACGAGTCAGCCGAACGAAGAAGAAAAGAAATTGGGTGAATGAATGCGAGAGAGGGGGTTTACTGGAGCCCGGGAAGAAGTGATGTGGCGGAGAATGTTGAGGTGGGTTTCATCGGTTGACACCCTTTTCAAGTTGCCGTGCTGGTTCGCCATATCAAGAGCAAGACCTTCCGGCCCTTTCTTCCCGTCTTCCTCCATCGACCTTCTTCGGGTTCTAACCCAAATGGTTCGCTTGTGCTTCTTCAATTCCTCCTCTTTATCATATTAGGTTTTGTTTTGGAGTTGGGTTAGGATACTAAACTTATTAGTTTGTAATCCTACAAAATCTCATTGATGGATGGTTGAGATTGAAAGGGAACGGATCTAAGGATCATATTTGTAGGGTATAAAGAGGGAAAATAGGATAGAGGACTGATTGAATTTTTTGGCCCGTGTACTTTTCAATTCTCTTCTAAAAATTCAACGGATCATATCTCATTCGTTTTATATATGATTTTAGAAATTTTTGCATAGAAAAATTGAGTAACTTGTACTCTATAGGGTGATGATCGACTTTACCAGATTAGAGGTACGACCCGTTTGGTTAAATTAAATCCACTTTATGAGTTGTACCCCGATGATGCTGGTTTGCTTAGTGTTAGGCCATTGGCCCGTATGACCGCTGATGCAAGTTTGATCACTGCGATCGTTGAGCATTGGCGACCCAAGACATCGACTTTCCACTTGTCGTTTGGTGGAGTGTACGATCACTCTTGAGGACAAAAGATCACGACCGGGGGTGGGGGGGGGGGCATATGATCACGGCTGAGAACTTCTCCCCATGCCCGCAAACTTTTAGAGGGCGTCCAAGATGAGTACAAAAGGTCTCATGACCTGCCACACAGCCACGGTGAGCCGGAGCGCAAGAAAAGTTAATGGGCGAGTCAAAAAGATCGTGGTTGCGAGCTGTTATTCAGTGCTGCAAACTCTTATATACTTGATAAATGATCTACCCCACTTTTATGAGCTTAAATGAACCTTCATCCGACTACCTTTACCATCTTCACCGATTGATTAAAATGGTAAACTTTTTTCTACTCACTTTTATCTAGTCTTATACACATTGGAGACAAATGTGTGATTTAAGTGTGGGGGACGTTTAGTACGCACGTTTACAAATGCTTGCATGTATTCATATGCTTAAAGTTTGAAAATTTTGAATGGATTGCACGTTTTGCTCCTCTTGTGTGATGATGGTGAATGATGATGATTGCATGATTATAACCACTTGGAGTAGTGTATGAATTCCCCAAAATTTTAAAAATTTGAGGGCTCCAAGTTGGCTCATTCGCATCATTCCTACTCAGTGTAGTTTGAATTGTTAGATGATTGGGATTATGTGTGTTATAGGGAATAGTGTAGCACTACAAGACTTATTGGTGTATGAGGAATTTTACTTCTATTTCCTCTTGATTGTGTTGATATTGTTTACTATCTAGGCTATGACATGTGTACGGGAGTACGTGACTCTCTCCCCAAATTTTGAACTCCGAAAATATTTGCAAAAATGTGCTCAAGTTTGAAAAAATCTTTTGAAAAATGAGTGTTCTCACGTGAGATGCAACCAGGCATAGTCTTTGAGTTATGACGTCAAAGGACTTCTCTCGGTCAAGAGTGCCATTTCAGGATGTGACTGGAGACCTCATTCTCCTTACACCGGTTTTCCTCTCATATTGTATGAGAAGAGATAGTGTGCCTCTACGCAAGTCGATAGATCTGGGTTCTCGTTTGTACCTCACATGTGTGGCAACCCGTCTTTCACTAAGACGAGAGAGTAGGTTGAGAATTGGTGCTTGAGAGATCGAACTAGCGTCCAATGCTTCGCCTTTAACACTATTCCACCCTCTCAACCATCACTTTCCCCACATGAGGCTTTAACAGAGAAGTCAATGTACTTTTGCACTTAGCCACAAGGGAGAGACGCCTTGTTTGAAAAATTGCAAAGTGTGGTGCCATGTTCGGCAAAGTTAAGTTGAGGCTCAGAGTTTGAGTTCTCTTTTGAAATAAAAAGTAGGGGCACCACCAATGAGTCCATTGCTTTTCACATGTTTTTTTAGAGTCCCACGGTGCACACTTGAAATGTCTAAACCTCTTTAGTAGACATGGTCCTCATCCGAGAGATGTAAATAACATTTTCTCGACTATGATTGTCTTTGAAAGTGCTACCGATTAACTATAAAGCATACCATTGTGATAGTCTATCAAGTTGTACTGATTTGAGTTAGGTTTGCTTTGGAATAAAAAACGCTTAAGTATGGGGGAGTTGATGCGTTTTCATGCAATAATCATCATCTTTGGCTAGTTGAGATTAATTTCGTGCTATAATTGCTTCCTATTGTCACAATCCTAAGATTTAGCATGTCTTTATCATTACTTGGCCGTTTGGCATGAAATTGTTAATTGTTACCCTTTTCTAGGCTAAGTTGCATTTTCTATCTTAATTTCAGGTCCTAGTACGATAAGGAAGAGGCACACCAAGTTTCATGTCAATTAGAGGTTGTTTGAGGGGTGAAAAGAAGGTGAAAAATAAGGCCTTCCAAAGTTCACGACCGGTAACTTCTCCCCATGCCTGGAAACTTTGAGAGGATGTCCAGGATGAGTATAGAAGGTATCACGACCCGCCATGTGGCCACAACGAGCTGGACTATAAGAAAAGTTTACAGGCACGTTAAAAATATTGTGGCTGCAAACTTTCCCCATGAGTTCACCCCTGACGACAAGAGTTCCCGGCCGTGAACTCTTGTCCCAAGGCTGCGAGCTTCTCCTTCCCAAGATTTTTCACCTCCTTTCAAAGTTCACGCTCGCGGACTCTTGCATTGAGGCTGCGATCTTCCCTTTCCCATCAAAAGTTTACAACCTCTTGTCAAAGTTCACGGCTGCAAACTTTAGGCTGCGAACTTTGAGTTGTGTGAGTCTACAAATAGAAGGGGTTGTTTTGAGTAAAGGGGGCATCCTAGAGAGAGAAACAAAGTATGAGAAGATGTAGAGTCAAAGTGACGAGCTTGCAGAGGTTTTTGGTGATTTCTTCTTCATCCTAACCCCAAAACATCTAAGATTCAAGAAAGGTGATCAAAGCAAGAAGGAGAAGAAGGATCTAGCCATGGATTTGTCATATTCTTCCCATTTGTACACACACACTCTCTCTCTCTCTCTCTCTCTCTCTCTCTCTCTCTATATATATATATATATATATGTTTTAGCTTCTCTTGTTGTTTAGGAAGATGAACCCTAACTTGTAGATTGGTTATGGGTCATGTGTAAGGATGATTGTAAACTTATATATCTATGTCTAATGGATGTTTATTCATGCTAATCTCTTGCTTTAGTGTGAGTGATCTTTGCTTGTTCTTGTCCTAGGAGAGAGAAACACCCTCTTAGGCCAAAGTTAAGGCATACATCAATTAGTGTGGGATTGTTTATATCCCATTTGCCATTTGGTTGCAACTTAGATGATATGGAATCCATCATTATCTTACATATGAATCTATGACATGTTTGTGTTTAATTAGAGTTCTTAATGCTTCTAATTAGGGTGCAGATGTATGTTGAATGCCTCTTGCCTTGCTTAGATGAGCTAGGTCTAACTAGAGGAAGAGGTGACCATCCCCCTTTGTTAGGAGCTCCTCTAATTGATGCTTGTTGGGTAAGTGCATGACCATTGACTTACCCGATTAGTGTGCGGATGGGTGCAACCCATTTAGAGGAGTTAGGAATGATCTCTAGTAGGGGAAACCGGTTGTTGTGACATTGGATCGGAGGACACAACTAGAAGGGGGTCGGTTGCATGAACATTGAGCTAGTCCCCATCTTAGTGACCTCCACACCTCAAAATCTCATTTGATTTTGCTCTTATTAACCTATAGCTAGCTAGAGGGATTCAAAACATTCTATTTCTTGTGATCTGCCTCACTTTTAGTTTTGTTTCTTTGTTTGTTCACACTTAAACCCTCAACCATCTCTTTTGACTAGATAGTAGGTCGATGCCTGGAGTAGTAATAGATCTAGAGGGCCCTTGGGAATACGAACTCGGTCACCACTTACTAGTTCGCTAACTTAGGGTATAATTGACCTAGGTTGGGTAGATAAAGAGTATTAACCGAGTTTTAGAGCTTGGTTCGGAATGTGCATCAATGACACCGTGAATCTTCCCTAACTCAGAGAGCCTCGACGCCCTGCAAATAAATAAAGTTCATGATTCACCCTTAGCCAAAATTTATGATTAACTATGTGACTGTAAGAAATTACTAATTCTTATTGACTTGTGTCTATGCTAATGATGAAATATTTTAAATGAATGAATTGCTTAGTTGTATTGATGAATGATTATAGTGAAACTAAATTGAGATTTAGAGGATTATGAGTGATTTAATAATATTGAAGTATAAGTTTAGTCCATTGTACATAATACTCCACTATTTATATATATATAAAAAATTCAATATTTTATGTTCAATTCGAACCACCTTTTATTGTTTGTAGTATCGCATTATTTAATTTAGTATATGGTTATACTAATACCATATTGAAACATTTCAGATTGAGGTTGATTTTGGTCATTCTTTAGCATTTGAGATATCAATAAACTAATTTCTCATAGTCATAGCATTTAATTAGTCATGAATCTTGAATTTGAGCATTCTGTGAACTAGCATAAAATATATCTACACTAATATAATCATTTATTTATGATGGCAAATGGGTGGGGCAGGGCGAGTCGATCGACTCTTACATGTCATTTGAAAAAAATACACGAAAAAATATACTTTTTATGGTAAACACTTTATGAATAAAAAATAGTTAGAACTGGTAATTAAGTCTAATCAGTTGAAAGATCAACTCTAACTAGTTGAAGAAAAGTAAAATAGGATAGATATGAATAGAAATGGTAAGAAATGGAAATAAAATGGGCAAAGAACAGGGCAGTACAGGGCGGGTGGAAAGTAGATACGAATACACCGCCCCACGTTACTGCGTCTAAGGGTAAGGTAATACTCGTCTCATCACGGATAATACTCGAAAAGGCAAGTTTGTCACCCTTCCATATAGTAATTGCGAAAGGGGGCACTTGCATAATCTATAATGCATCTACACCCTAACAAATCCCTTTTACTCACTTACGCTTTTTATATACTAATTACTATGTTTAAGTTCATGAGACTTTTACTATTAGGCAACAAACCAACAAATCTACTTATAAATTGACCTCCAAGTAAAATGAAAACCATGATATAAAAAAACCAGAGGGATCGGAAAAACAAGACCGATGATAAAAATATGACAAATCTGACGATCTAGGAGGAGAAAGGGCTGTCTTTGTTTTAAATGCATTACCATCCTGGCCCTATAACAATGGCAGTCAATACAAACTACAAAGGCATTTCTTGACCAGCTGAGGGGGTCTTAGACGAGCAAAAGCTCAATATTTCACCAAAGCGAGCCACTGGCTATCTTCCCCCTTACCATCCATCTTCCTTCTTTAACTACAATACCTATGACTTGAGTGAGAGCTATCTTTCAGGATCTAGGGCTTCTTCCTTACAGGGATAACACTCTAGTCATCAATCTACTCGCGGTTAGGTTTCAGAGAAAACTCCATCCTGGAACTTCTTGCACAATGCCTGTGCTGCTGATTCAATCCTTGCTTCCTCCTGACACCCATATTCAAACAAAACTCGGGTAAGTGTTTGGACAAGCAATGCAAAGTAGAAGGGCAACTAGGAAAGAGATTCATTCAGCAGTGTACTCCACTAACCTTGCCTTCAAAGCTGATCACAAGGGGGCCTGCTCTGGACTTTCGATGACACACTTGATATTGCAATGTAGAGTAAAATGATCAGATCGACATGAAAAACTGAAAGGGGCAGCAAAGGAATAAAAAGAGCCTGAAAGTTTCTCTTTACCAATATTCAGATCTGGGTACTGCATGCAAAGTTTCGATAATGATTGGGCAATTTCGACCTACAATATCCAAGAAAAGGAAAACCAGTTCAATATGGAAAATGAAAACATCACAAGAACGAAAGACATGACTATTAATTATCATGCGTACATCTGAAAGATGGGTGGTTAAGCTCTTTGATTCATATGGTTCCATCAATATCAATACAGACTTTGTGAAATCAACCAAACACTCCCATTCCTTTTCCAGCTCGGTTGGATTGGTTGCAGTCAGCAGGACTACATTCTGACACTTGATCTACAATCAGGCAGGCAATCATTAGATAAAAACTATTGCCTGTCATTTATTGAATTTATTCTCTTCTGTATTTCTAAGGACATACCAAAGGCACCGACAGGTTTTCATGGTGCAATAGTTCAGTGATTCCTTCAGGCAACAGAGCCATCTGAAGTAAAAAAAAGTCCCAAAAGGATTACATAAATGCATAAGTGAACCCTTAATACTCTAAAAAACATAATAATAACAGTAATAATAACGAAGCTCATAATGCATAAAGTAGGAAATAGAAAATCATTCATTAAGAAATTGCGGCAGCATTGTGCTTCTTTCTGAATTGACAGTCTCTAGAAGGGGATTGGATGTCTCCCACTGGGATATATGGCCGTATCAGGTTCAGGTATGGTTGACATGGATATAAATATATGCCAGACTGAAATTCTTTTCACATAAACAGCGAGAAGCTTTTTTCTCTTCCTGCCATTTTGATACTAAATGGAGCGAACCTGCAACTAGAAAGACAACATACGGCAAGACCGTTTGTATTCTTTTGTACCATTTCTATGACCACATACTGCATGTTGTGCGCTTAGGTTCCAATGAAAGAGTGATGTAAATTCAGATTTTACATAATGGAACATATTATCCGCTACCACTTATAATCAACTGTTATTTCTATTTTCTTCTTTTGGATGGAAATAATCAACTGTTATTCATTCTATAGTTATCTTACCTCATTGCGGTCACCAGTGAAATGTTTGCCTATTACATGCCTTAGGTACTCTTCAAACTCTTCGTCAGGAGCCTACATTGACCAAAAACCTTCAAATACTGAATGCAATATTAAGTTTCAAAGAACTCATGTTTCAACATGCAATGAAAGTAGCAGAAGCACTGGAACCTTTTCAATTCAATATGAAATGAGAAAGACAGAAAAAAAACACAAATATAAAGAGTCATACGCACCAGGCGGACCCCAAAAGCCTTGGCAACACCTGCTGAGGTAACATCAGAATGCAAGGGGCCCACACCACCATATATGAATATCTACAAGCCATTTAGTATGGTTGGCATTAGTACCTAGCAAGCCTCGAGAACTATGTAAAAATGCTATATCTCTTGGAGCAAAATCTATGGCCCTACCAGGTCATTTGAAGATTTCTGCCTTTCAACTTCTTCAGCAACAGAATCAATCTGAGATCAGGAAAAGTCGCATCCAATGAACACTAAGAAGGAGGCAATTCATTTTTATGAATTGGATTCACATGCCCGCAGTGGTATTAGTTAAGGGATATAAAGTTCACCATTTATCACCCTCAGTGTTTACATTTGTTATACTGTGGACTCTTCCACACACACAAAAATAAAGTTTCATATTCTAACTCTACAACAGCAGCAACAGTACTTTGACAAAGCCGTAATACTTACATCATTCCGAACTACAGTCGTTTGTGATACTGACCAACCAATTGAACGGAGCTTTCGGCACAGCAAAGGTCCCAATTCATCCTGAACAGCACCAGATCTGAGCTATGGATCAGATAAGAATGCAAGAAATTCAACAACAGCTGGAAAATTGACGAGATATAACATACATCAGCATGGTGCATGGAAAACTCTCAGTTACCACCACATGCTAAGCTTTGTGAAGTTGGACAATCAGACCATGATAGATGAACAAAAATGGGGCACTCAAGGTGATTGTAATGCGGATAAAGAGATGAAAGGCATAGCATATAAAAGAGGGGACTTACAGAATCTCATCCCCTACGGCAATAGCCGATCCTGTGCGCATTCTCTTTACTTGGGACTCTTGATCATCCAGGCCATCTTCGGCAACTGGAGAATGTTGGGATATAGGAGAACATTTCTTCACCCTTCCTGCTCTTTCTGATCTTCCATCAGAAAGCAAATATGCAGGTTTGAATTTTTCCTTATGTCCGGAAGAGTCGCTGATACAAAGCAACGAGTTTGGAGTTGTATCATGTATGCTTCCAATTGAAGTATACCTGTTGGTAAAAGAAATCGGTAATTGGATCAACCTGAGAAATACTAAGTAGTAAGGTAAGCACTTCAGGAACATAAAGAAAGTAAATACCCTTGGTCGTAAAGACTGCAATACTGGACCTTGCATGTCAAAAGAAATGCCCAAACATCCCTGCCAACAAACAGAACAAGTCAAAATCCTGACTGGATGAAATCGCAAGTGATCAAGCTTTTTGAATGATAAAACCCCAAAGACAACAGAACAGTAGTAGGGATAATCAATCTCGGGTTGCAACTTGGCTGCAAATGCATTATCCATTAATAATAAAAATAAGTTGAGTGCAGATTCAACAAGAATCAAGGCAATAATATAGTGAATTAACTTCAGACTTCAAACATTTCGAAAGAATCATCGGGAGAAAATAAGACATCTGAGTATTCCTGAAAAGGATTTGAACCTGCTCTTCCCCAAGAGATTCAAAGAAACCACACTTGAAATAACCTAATTGAGAAGTCTGGATTTTAATCAGCATTGATATTAGTTTTCTAACATTGGTATAAAACGCCTAATGAAGAATAACATTCATTGGAAATTAAATCAATATTCAAATGAGGATAAGCAATTTGATACACCATATAGTAAACGCTTAAACCTGTAAGACCAATCCAAGATAGGATTAACTCGCATAAAAGGGGGCCATCCAGGTGAACTGGGGGAGAACTGTTCTTGTCCGACCTGCAGGTGGGAAGAAAAAATCATAGCCCATAGATTTCTGATATCCAGCGGCCCAAACAGAAACATATGGAGTTAAGGAAATTTATGAACTTGATAACTGAACTGAGACAAAAGCTTCAACATACCGCAGTTGGATCACCAATTCGGACACCAAGGAAAATTGCTCGAATTGGATTTGCTTTAAAGAGATTTTCCAACCCAGACTTGAAATCTGAGCGTATGATATCAAGTTGCAAGCCATATCTGAATATGTAAACAAATCGATTTTGAATGCTGAATGTTTCAAGTTGATGAATATTGTGATCAATACTTTAGCCAACTAATAGTTAAACAATGGTGGCACAAGTCCATTGAGAAAAAGATGTACCGAATAACAAGAGGTTTCTCACCTTGAAGCTGCGTCATAGGTGAACGTGTTAATTTCTGGAAAAGCTGAAGGACTCTCAAAATATATTGTTCTCAATGGGAAACTAGTCAATCCCCCATTTGAACAACTTTGTTCACCCTTATGTAAGAAGTAGCCAGCCCTAAGTAGGTGCAACAAAACCTGCAATCCAAGTCGAGCGTTAGAACGAGCAAGATCATAGACAACTGTTGAATAACTCATAAACCCATAAAGGAAACCTACAGTTGAATCTTTCCCTCCATTGAAGCTTAACGCGACCTCTTCGATCCTGTTTAGGAAAACAATTTCAGTTCATGCTGGACCACATACGTATACTACTAAATAAGAAACAGAGATTAGTTTCACTGAAGAAACATTAAATTGCACTTAAGCCTCAAAGAGAATTCTAACTTAAATAGCTATCAACCACGAAACAGCTAAAACATCCAAGAGAAGCTGGGGAATCAGAGAAGATTCTAGGGGCAGTGTCGGGCAACAAAAGGCTCTCAGATCTCCCAGCCAAATTTTTAACCACATAGTATGCAACCTCAAGATGGCATCCAATTTGAGTAATTAGCAATTTTAAAAGTTGGTTTTATGAATTCAAAAAGCGTCATGAAAGAACATCTATGACAAATTTAGTTATACCAATCGACTTTTGGCGCAGAGACTTACAAGTACGGAACTAGCAGCCACTGAACGTAACATTTAATTTGTTTACCTATTATAAAAGAATCCCAAATTGGAACTTATTTTACCATTTGTAACACCAGAAAGGCGTGACACAAGGCATATATAGAGCAGGAAGAAAACCTGTTACCATCTATAACGCACAAAAAAGAGCGATAGATCCCAACGATCTTTGTCAGAAAGAATTAAACACAAGGATCAGAATGTACTTTGGAAAGGAATGAGTCAAGTTCTTGTTAGTCATATCTAAAGTAAGCAAAGATTCTTTCATGCAACTAGCTTTGTTGTTAATTTCTCTGAAATAGAAATGAGGAACTGACCCTAATAATGATATTTCCTTTGCCTGAACGTTGCATTGGACCGAAGCGTTGGGAAAAGCAAAAAATCTTTCGCAGGCATGTATTTCAAGTGACCAGAAGTCTCAAGTTATCTACAGTCAACTAACTCTGCTAGTATAAAAGACAAACTAAACTTATCAAACCTATGTGCTGGATGTAGCATGCTACAAATGAGCTGCAGCAATGAGCATTCAATTTGAGATGTAGATCATGCAAGACATGTACTGGACAAAACTGCATTCCTCGTGACTTTTTCAACCCTGTAATTTAGCGTAAAACATCTATTTCCTTTATCTACCGATGAGCATTTAGGCATTCCGTGTTTTTTTATTCGCACTACTATGAATTAAGTCCTTACTCTAGCCATTGGACCATAAAATTCGGAAACGGAGAAATCAAATCAGTGAATGGAAAATGCTTCACTCATTTGCAGCGGAAACACAGAAAACCACAAACAACAATCAGTACCGAGAACGTAAGCGGGAGAAACTCACGAGTATAGAGCCAGAGCTCTTTGAATAACATAGATGGCGTTGTTATACTTGGTCTTGAGCCTCATGTCATCGCTCCCTCTGATTGCTTGATCGATCTCCATCTTCCCTAAAAGGACATCAATTTTACAATCAAGCATGCAAAACAAGCAAATGGGTCTTGAAAAGAAAGGAATTTGAAGCATTCTATGGGGCAAAGCACGGAGCAAGTGATCTGGAAAACCCAAGACTTGCACTGAATTTTTTTTTCGGAATGGGTAATCAAAGATTCATCTTATTTCCGATTGTTAGCATACTAGATACTGAATTCAGAGCTGAAATCCACCTGACTGGAGTGGACTGATTCCAAAGTCCTCTGTCAATAGGGAGCTCCGAGCAAATTAAGTCGTCTTTCGGCCCGCAGGATGAAAGAAAGATAGCACAGGGGAGAGAGCCGATAAGAGAGAGAAGCAGCGATGAATGCCACAGATTGTTTATCTAAGAGCGGATTCGGCGGGCGGGGGAGGGCGAAGCTGACCCAGAAAATCCAAACATGGCGTTAGGCTTTATTCGCAGCGTGGAATTGGCTGTGTTTGATACATACAGCTTCCGGCTGCACAAACGCTAAACAGACCAATTCTGTTCGAAACGGAAACTCAATTGTGTTGAATGGCCAAAAGCTAATGCTTTTCACTAATAATATTCTCTTGGATTATTCGACAAAATCCTTTTTTGGCTGCCCACCACTTCTCTTCTTCTTTCTCCACAAAAAATGCGTGCATTTGGGAAGTATAGGTTCGATGTAAGTAACACCCAACCAATGCGGCCTGTTGACTGTCTAGCACCTCAATATTCCCACGATCCTACTTTTCCTAAATAATGATGGTCGGGATGAGTAATTGTTTACACCTAAAATTAATTTGACTTTAAACGATGTCGCAAGATTAGTGACGATGCGTGCTAAACAACATCGCAGTAGAGAGCGATGTCGCAATCGGGAATTCAGCGGCGTTGTGAGTTCGACAACGCCGCGAAACCCAACGATGCCGCAAATTTAGCAACAACTTTGACAACGGAGCTAAACTGAATTCAACAAGTCCGTGAGTTAAACTATGTTGCAAGGCCAACGGTATTGCAAATTGAGCTAAGCAAATATAAAATCAAGTGATGACCTTGACGACGTTGTGATGAAGAGATGTCGTTTAGGTAAGAACGAGTTCAACGATGTCGCGAGGTTGGCGATGCCGAGAGTGAGATAATTTTGCAAGCCTGACAATGCCGTGGAGGTTCAACGGCGTTGTGAGCTCGACAACACCGATTGGACGGCGCCACAAAGGTCGTGGGTCAAACAACACCGCAAGCTACGAGGTTGACAACATCGCAAGTTGAGCAATGTTGCGAGTCCAAGGGTGGCGTATGGGGTAACAATGGAGCTGTTGAAATCAATGATGATGAAGCAGCAACGTAGTGGTTCGAACCCCGATACTGGTACTTTAGTGTGCACGTGTGTCTCACATGGACAGAAGTGGAGATTGGTGATGTACTGCCATTAAAGTTTACAACCTTGCAGCGAATGTGGTTTCTTTTACGGGAGACTCACACCAACCAGAGTGAAGAGGAGATCAAGGCGGTTGAGACACGTGAGAGTTCAGGATGGAGCAGTTGAGGAAGCAGTTTCATGGAGCGTGAAGACTACGAAGACGCTTTTTGAATAAAAGCAGCGGAGCAAGGAGAGAGCGAGGGACAACCAAACCAACACAAAAACACATCTGTCAAACTTATCTTTTTCTCTGTAACTCCCTTGCGGAGCTCTCATTCGAGGAAGGATCTCCATAGTCGTAGCAGTAGTCGTAGTCGTGGAGCTCTCCACAGGAATCTCCATAGGAGTAGTTTTACCTATTTCTCCCAAAATAGTAAAACATAACACCCTTTTTTCCTTATGCTCTATCAACATCATCCAGTTCTCTCTCACTAGCCACCACAGGCCATCACCAATTCACGTCAACTCATTAATCATCACCACTTTCCAACATGAACCTTGAGAATTAGAACATTTAACCTTGAGAAATTATCATTTTAAGTGTTATGTGTCCTTGTGTTATTCATGATTTGACTTATTAATATTACTTCATGTTTGCTTTTGTATGGACCTTAAAATCCTATGATTTTATGATTAAGATTGTACCCCTATTTTCAATTTTACATAAAATATCGACATTGACTACATTGCATGGGAGGACTGAAAACTTTATACAGGTTGACCATTTATAAGAATTTAGAATGTGGAAGAAGTGACACAAGCCCGAAGCCAATTTTTCAAGGAAACAAAGTTTCTCCAAGTAATGAAAACAAAAATGACCATACCATCCTATCATATTCCTTATCCATGTCCATCTTAAGAGTCGTGAACCCATTCTTACCCACCCTCTTATTTTTCAAATAATGCATGACTTTATTTTCAATAAGGACATTATCAACAATATGCTTTTCCAAGACAAATCAGTATTGTCCATATAAGATAATCGATAGTAGAGATCATGCTAGTCTCTCAACCAGGATTTTAGCAATCACTTTATAAAAAAAAAAACTAGTAGAGACTAATAGGTTGAAACTTCTTCATATGTTCCACCTTTTCTACCTTTGGTTTGAGAACCAGGCAAGTATGATTACAATTTTTCAAGAGAGAATTTGTAGGAAAGAATGACTAACTGCGTCAATCACCTATTGCCCCACAATCACCAAACTACGCCATTTGAAGTTGTTAACACTCTCAAAATTCATGACAGTGACATGGAATGTCACTTGAACATACTCACAATTCCTTATACCACTTATATGTCCCAAGTTTAATGCTTTCCTTCTTTATCCTTAGCTTTCTTTCTCTCACATGTCACGGTTATAGTAGTCTTCCTCATTAGAAGTTTGTATGATTATTATCCATAAACCTCTTCAGGAGTCATCTGTTCGATAATTACATAAACAAAGTACAATGAACGATTTGTTAGTTACACCAAAGCTTTATGCCCATTTTGTATGAACTCCTTCTCAGCCGATCCAAATAGGCGAAGAGAAAACCCAAAAAATAGATGCATTTTGCAAACGAACAGTAAAAAAGAAAACGTATGACCTTTTACACGGTAACCTTGTAGCGTGTCACCTCAATATAGATATAACCCATTTTTCTCACTGGCTCAGGATTGGGTCAAAAATATTGTAGTTTAGAGAACATGTGTATCATCATGTTAATGGGATCCGACCAAAGAAGATTCAGCAAAATGAAAGTCCAACCCACCAACCATATCACTAAGATGCACTGCACACGTCAAAAACTTGTGACAAAATAGGAACGAATTTGTCCACCATGATGTCAACGAGTGAACAGAAAGCCTGGCTCTACTAATGAGTTAGGCACCACCAACTAACAATGCATAAAAATTTTCAGTACCATGAAAAGATGAAAAACGTTTTGCACAGGTTTTGCCATGCTTTTTTCTACACGATTCAGCGATCCTAGTTTATCCACAATTCGCATGATTTTAGAAGTTAGCATTCCATCTCTCATGTATATGCAAAAGGAATCCATGACCATTCTTACATGTTTACTACATGGTTTCACATTTCACGATCTACAAGCTTCAACTTTCACATGTTCGAGGAAAAATAGAACATAAAAACCTTGACTGTTAAAGCAGTCAGTAATAAGACCCATTGACGTTTACCCTTTTGCGTTTAGTCGTAGAGCCCTTCTTCAAGCCATATGTCAACCAAGAAGTCCACCATCTCCTACAAAGAAGTCATTGATGAGTCACAATTAGAACGATTCAGAGTGACATGACTATGCGTGTGTTGTTGATCAAGGTTAGGGAGAACTTACATCTAGAGGTATTGGCTGTTGGAAAGGTTCTTGAGAACATAGCAAGTCTTCATATGTCGTTGCCCAGCTGCAAATCAAAAATTTAAAACAACAAAAGCTTACCATGATTACTAAACTCAAACATTCATGAATGAATAATTGTGTGAGACTACTAAAATAGCCTCCACCCAGGATAGGCATTAGATAACTCTAGGATTCTTTTATGTGTAAAATCATTGCTATGTTCCTTGTCTTGGATTTTGGATTTTGACTTCTCCAACAAGTGGGGCTGTTAAATTTTTTGGATTTTGACTTCTCCAACAACATGTCCCTTGTCTTGCCACCGCCAAGGAAAATAAACACCTACTATAATGGCTCAACATTGGAACAACTAAGAATTTGGAAAAGCAAATATCTTTCCCAACTTTAGCAGAAATGGAGAAGAAAAATGGATGCATGTACTGAAGCAATTTTGAGGGGTGATAAAAGTACCTCATAATTTGTTCTCTAGGCATTCTTTTTGACCGTTGAGAAGATTCACCAACCCACTGCTTCCTTCTCTCATGCCAATCAATTTCAGCTGCATCATATTACGTTGATGTGATTAGTCTTGATAAAGAAAAAGTAACTAGCAACTCGCATTGCATAATAAATATGGAGCAACATCCACAATGTTGAATAAATGTTTACATCTCCAATGCCACTTTAGCAGACCACCTTATCAAATAACAAAAACCTTAAACAAAACCTAAATTTGATTTTGAATATTCACATTGAAATTCTTCGAAAATGGTAGTTCATCTGCATGTTATGAAATGTGTCTGTAATTGCTTACTAAGATACTAGGTGAACGCACCAATGATGGCACAATGTAAATAACGAAATTAGTCTCTTTAGGTGTCTAAGAGAGTATGGTTGAGGGGCACACTATGAAGGCTTAGTTCGGTCAAGGTTAAACAAACTCGAAGACATAAATCATAGAAGACACATGAATTCTTAGTTCAGAGATCTGTAAGTTATTAGCATTTGTGGTGGTAAAAGCAAAATATTTTTTTATTCTCAAAGTCAAAGCAAGCTTCCGTTGGACTTAGCCATATAATATGTAGATGGTAAGGATTGTTTTGCTAGCCTTTAACTATCCAATACATATACACAATATCTAGTTTCCAGTAGCCGTGAAAGTACCGTGGTTAACAAACCCAATTTTCTCTGCAGACTTGTCTTTCCTAGGATCATCTGCATTTCCCAAGTGATCCTTATGATGGGAATGTGGCTTATTGCCATCGGTTTCCATCACCTTTCTACCATTCACCATTTCCCTCAAAACTGCTATCACAAAAAGGGTAAGCGACCACGTTAAAAGAAAACCCTTCACTCTGGTAATAATGAAGAGGAAAACAAGAGGTCTTGCCTGCAAACAACACCATAGAGCAATAAACTATACTCCCCTAGAAGAAAAGAAGATATTTTAAACTAATTAGCAGGTCAACTCCATCAATTTTTAAAAAAAATCTCTTTACTTTTGAAGTCCACCAAAATCACATACAATTAATCCCCACTTGAGAGGGAAAATTAAAGAGAAAAAAGGAATCTTCTTTTCGAATAAACAAACAGAACCATGATCTTGATTAAATCCAGGATTCATAAATTTAAAGGAAGAAAAAGAGAACAAAATCTCTTTACCCACAGAAAGGGGGAAACCAGCGAAGAAGGCAGGAGATCAAGGCATCTTTAGCCACGATTTCAATTTTCCACTCATGTTGAGAGAGCTATTGATTCAGGATAAGATTCAGTTCCTACCCCCGTCCGGTTTTGTGCTTTGGTTTCCTTGTGTTCTGCGGAGAAGAGAGAGAGAGTGATGGTGAAGATTCGGGGATAAGAGTGTTGGTGTGAGAACGAGAGAGAGGAAGCGAGTTGTAAATTTTTCTTTTTCAAACAGGCAGGTGTATACAGTAGATGTGGAACAAAAAAAAATTTGTGTGGACATAATTTTTTTTAAATCACAATTAATTAGTTCTTTTTATTCAAATTATTTTAAATTTTACCTTAAAACAAAGGGGAAAAAATCTAATGAAGAAAAATGAGGATTAAAAAGAAAAAAAGGAAAATGGGTTAAATCATAGCTTGCCAGCTTGGGCCTCAATACTTAATAGGCCAGGGTTAAAGGTTTTGTAGAAATTTTGTTTAACATTGTTATTTCTTATATAAAATTCTGAAGTTGTTCTTCACCTAATCAACAGTATTATTTATAGCAGAAACTTATAACGACAATGCCAATTAAAACATTCCCTGCCTTAGAGTGTTCTTCGTTTACTGATGTGGTTGCTTATTTAGGCGGGGTTTTACCCATCTATTCCTCTCTATCGTCGACTGCCAGCTGTCTCCCTACCTCTTTCTCTTTCTATCCCGCAGTCGATTCCATATACCCCATCTAGCCTAATCTATTTTTCGTCGGTTCTCTGAAACTGTATAGAAGGTTTATCTTGTGGATCAGCCACCCCATTACATCGGCGCTGCTACATTGGCAAGTAGATGGTCCGCTCACTACATTCTTACAACTGGATTTTTGGCTCCTCGTCTTCATTTCTTCCTAGATGCCCATCGATGCGTTCCGTTCATTGAGTTCCAAAACGTATATTTGGGGGCACGTCTATTCATTTCTTCGTAAAGGGCTAGCGTCTCCTACGACGGTTTGGAATTCTACAGACCGAATTTCAGGAACCTGCACATTGTTCCCTCAAACAAACTGTGAAAGATTTGTTAGAGGATGTTAGGGGTGGGCAACTAGAAACATATATTAGGGTATACCCATACCCGTTCCTTTTTTTTAGGGTTATGGGTACCCAAATAACCGTAATTTTTTTTACAGAATGAGACTTGGGATCAATAAGTTCTACAATGGGTAACCACATGTTGCCCTTTAATACCCGTTGGGTATTACGGGTACCCATACTATCTGCCCATTATAAGTTGACTGCTATGAAATGTCGAATCGGCCAGTGAATTTAACAAAGTAACTACATCTCAAGCATCCTCAGTTGTAACTAATCCAGTGCCTTCATGAAAAGTTGACAACTAAGAAAATTAAGTTTTATACAGCAAAAGGAAAAACTAAATGGCACAACAAATATGTTGTGTAATAATGAAAAACAACATTCATTAACCAGTACCATATAATTCCATTAAAGCGAGTGTTTTCCTAGCAAGCATGATACCGTTTCCATAAAAAAGAAGGATGTCCCCAACTTGAAGAACTGCAATTAGAAGATACCAGAGTGACATATTTAAAATTGGTAGATCTAGACTCTAAACGAGATAATTTGCCACTAATTTGCCTTCTTCCTTCTGTCAACAACGATTTACCATCATGTTTGAAATTATAAAGCTTCGATGCCAACCCCTTAGTATCCCTCCAAGCTTGAAGCCCCTTTGTTCTCTCTTCAAGTGCGGCCATTAAAGCCGGTCGATGCTTATTTCCCAACTCATGCAATCTTGTTTCATTTACATTTTGGAAACCCATGCTGGCTATTAGTACAAGTTATGAATTACCCGTGGGTACCCATTATCCATCCCGTATGGGTAATGGGTACATGTTAAATCGTATGGGTTTGAGACACGTGATGAAATTTCTCTCCAAATAGGACTAGGTACCCGTTTCAAACAGGACGAATACCCCAACCCGTCTCATTGTCCACCCTAAGAAGTTTGTTGTTGTCTCTGCCGCCTCCGCCTATTGACACTAGTCATAGTTGTTCTCAACCACCCACCGTAGTCTTCCCCTGAGATTAGCGTCTCATTCAACCTCATCGGCACCGATCACTTAATTTGCAACGAACACCACCCATAACCAAGTAAGCTCCCTGTGATTCATCTTATTCGTCTCATTCTTTTAGCAATAGTTGTTTAGGTTTCTATGCATTAAGAAATTAATGATTAGAAATATGCCCCTGATGAGAATGTTTTCCTGTGAATTGGGATTGCAATTTTCCCACCTATATGCCTTTAGGGCTTGTACAAGCTGGCTAGCTTTTAATCTAAGGAGACTCTTCATTATAGGTAGTCCAAACCATCTACTTGGGTTATCAATCGAGAACTGGACGTCCCTCCCTCGGCTATTGATTTCAACCCAATAGTGAAGGTTATCCCCATTCTCGATTTATGCTGAGTCCTTAGATTAGATTTTATAGGTAATTTGATTTTGCTAATGCCGCATGGTTTCCTAATTCCAAAATGAAATCGAGAGGGCCAAATTTGCTGCTAATTTGATTGTGGGATTACATATGTATGCTAACCCTCCTAACTACTTCTTCTCATTCTGCGTGTTGTGTGTGAAGGGAACTCCTGCTCCAGTTGTTGATTTAGTTCTTAGTTCAAAGCTATACCCACCGTCCATCATCTTCAAGGCCATCATGTGTGTAATTTGTTGCCTCTTGCCAATTCCATTCCTGATGTTGTGGTGTATAGACAGTTGTAGTTATCTCCATTTTATTATTGAGTGCGCCATAGAGAAATGGTGTAGAAAAGAACATTGTTGCATGTAAATTGTGAACAAGTTCTTGCATTTGCTTTCATTTTTTACGATTTTATTCAAGAAAAATTTCTCCTACAGATCTTTACATATCACTAAGAAGAGAAGAACATGGAAACTGGAGAGATATCACTTTTGATTGATCCCGTGTTACAAAATTGCTCTCTTTTGGTGCTTAAATGATATTCTGTGTCGTATGGTTTTGAACATTATATCTTTCAGTTTTATTATGCGGAACATATGCAATGAGAAGTGAGGATACCCAACCACCTTCACTGTCATTGGATAATGAACAAAAACATGCACTACTATCTTATCTTTGTGCATACGTTTCTATTTTCTCATATTGGGATGTGTTTTTCTCAGTTTTCCATCTACATTTTTCTGTTTAAAATCTTTGTTTGGACTTTGAAGTCCCTGCAATTTGTGATGCAAATTTTCCATTACTCACTCATTCTAACCCTTAAAGTTGCATGTCAGAGTTCTATCAAAGGGAAGGAGTTCATTTGGTGAATGTACTTCTATAAACAACTACAGGGATTGGGAATTAGGGAACATAATAGCAAAACAAGAATACTTCCTCTAACTACCTATCTCTTATGTTGGTAAGGTGATAAACAAGAATACTTCCTCTTACTAGTAGTCAGAAGACTTTCTAGTAGTGTGGGGTTGCTTTCCTGGTTGTAATCTTCAATTGTAAGCCCAAAATTATGTTGCTCCATTTCTTTCATGGTTTTTCCCCTAGTATTGGTTGATGATGAGTGTACATAGTCCACATAATAGAGTCCTTATCAATTGAGAATTGTTTGTCATGGGAAGGGTTTCACTTTCTGTGATGCATGTTCATAATGACCTATTTTCATAGACATTGTATACTCCATAACTTGACAAGCATTTTTCTTTGGTATGAAGATTGATTGTGCATATATACCATGGAAGCAACTCTCATGTGGTCCTTATGGACTTTTGATATGGACTATGTTTTTTTTTTAATGATGTTGTTGTCTTTGTATACTAACTTAGGCCACTGATGTTTAGAGTTCCTTATTTTGTATTCTAACACAGGGTACTCCACGTCTTCACTTCTAGGGCCAACAAATATGGACAATCCATACGTCATCCTGCGCGCGTAGAGACCCGCCAAAATATCTTAGTACTCTACTTCAAGGCGATACACCATAAGCGCACCACTTTCATACAAACATTAGAGCCTATAATGGGTTCTTCTTCTTTGTTTCACTTGGAGGTAAAGTCAATCACTCTAATAATGATGGTCGTGGCGTTTTTGTTTATTCAATTGGTGAATATTTAGTTCCTGGTGATGGGGATGGTCCAAAATTTGCACAGTTGCACATTCATGATTCTAATAACGAGGTCCAAAATCATATGAACTTTTACTCCACTGACCCTGACAAGAATCCATTACATCAGTCTATTGTTGAAGGTCTCCAACATATGTTTGGTGTTAATAATATCCTAGTACGTTTCATTCTGCACGATATAGGATACACCACTCTAGTGTTCATGAACTTCGACTGAAGCTATTGGCTAAGCGTGAAATTAATAATAGAGAATATGATTTGCCTTTTGCAAGTGAGATTACAACATTGATTGTGGATGAAACAAGAGATGACTAATTTTCTCTAGATATTATTGTTCAACAAAAGGGTTCAAAAATGGAAAGAATCAGCCTATACCATCCTAGTCTATTGTCGTTACAGTATTCAATTTTATTCTCATATGGTGAGGATGAGTGGCATCCTTGTATTAGCTATAGTCACAGTATCTTTAATAATGGTGTTGGAGATAAAATGATAGCGCAAAATGATTTCTATACATATTGTCTCCAAATACGGCTTCAGGAGTTGAATTCTCTATTATTATCTGGAAAATTGTTTCAACAATATGTGGTGAATGTATTTGTGTTAATTGAGGATGAATGCTTAGACTGGATGCATTCCCCTCAATCCACGCTAAGAGGCCACTACTACAAGGATTTGTTAATTCTTACTTGCGAGGGATAGTGGTATCAAGCTTTATGGGAAGCCAATCATTTTAGGTGCATTACATACTGGTAGTTCAAGATACAAGTATGAAAATTTTCAAGATGTGATGACTATTTGCCAAGGTTGGGTTATCCTGAGTTGTTTATAACATTCACATGCAATTCTAACTAGCCTGAGATTCAGCTAATGGTTGATTTGATTAGAATGTACACTGGCAAATATCTCTGAGCTGATGTTACCACAAGAATTTTCAAAATCAAGCTTAATGAGTTTATGTTTGAGATTCGCGAGAAAAACATTTTTAGGACAATCAATGCATTTATGTGTGCTTATTCATTTTATGTTTAGCTATTAATGTTGATTTATTACTCTATTTACTCATCAAACTAATAGTTGGTTTACACTATTTTGATCTTTCCGTATAGTTGTCAAAGCAATTGTATGGCAAGAGAGGGGTCTCTCTCATGCACACATATTGCTCTTTTTGTCCATGGAGGATAAATTTCATGGTCCCACGCAATTGATTTCATAATTTGTGCTAAAATTATGAATCCTGATGTAGATCCTGAACTATATGCAGTAGTCACAAGTTTAATGATGCATGGGCCGTGTGGGCTAATATGTCCCCAAAACGAGTTCATGAGGAATGGGATTTGTACTAAACATTAACCCCAAGGAATACTGTAGTCAAACAATTATAGATGAAACCGGGTTTGCCAGAGTTTTCAAATGTGGTGGGGTTGATCTTGATAATCGATTGGTTGTACCATACAATAGATATTTGTTACTACTATTTGGAGCGCATATCAACAATGAGTTCTATAACAAGACAAAATAAGTCTGAAGTAAATTATATATGGTAGCCGCAACACCTCTGTCTCTTTGCTGCAATTTGATCTGGAATTTTCCTTTGTATACCCTTGGATCAGGCCTTTTGATCCGTGTGTTGCCTTTTGTACTGTGTATTTGGTCTCTTTTGCTTTCTTTCTTGATTTAAAACAAGTCAACTAATGAAAAATATTAATACAACATTTTCGCAATCCCCATCTAACATCTAGAACTTAGTTTTTAGGTTTGATATATACACTCATTCTCCCATAGTACTTCGTATGTCATTTCAATTTTCTGGGAGAATACTGTGTATTCAAATGTCGATTCTAACGCGGAAGAAGCATTTGAATCTAGCAGTGCAGACCTCAATGTTGTTAGCTTGGATGGATCTCAATATTCGATCATTAGATGCACGAAAATATACCTTTGTGGATATACCACAATATTATGTCTGCAATAAGAAGTACAAGAAGTGGCAGAGGCGGTGTGCAATTCAGAATGCAGATACTAATACTCCACCACCACAAGGAGGTTTGGTTGATGCGGACGGCTTTACACTGGTGGTAAATAAGAAAAACAAGGTCTGGATTGGTTCAGGGTCTGCTTCTCAAGGGCCAAGAAATCTATCAAGTAAGTTGGCTGCGGGTCAGGTTAATGGGAAGACTGTGAGACTTGCGGTTCAGGCTCCTCCTGCCTCCCCTCCAAAAGGGAGAGGTAGAGGAAAGAAGCGCAAATGAGAATTCTAAGCTGGAATATCAGGGGTTTCAATGCCCCTGATAAACACTCAGCAGTGCTTGAGCAGCTGAGGATAAAGCATATAGATATTATAGGACTGTTAGAAACTAGAGTAAAGGAGGTAAATAAACATACTATTGTGGAGGGTCGCTTTTCTGCCTGGGAGCATTTATCAAATTATGCAAAATCTGATAACGGTAGGGTATGGATATTCTGGAGGGCAGGGTTGCGAGTGTCTCTGGTTGCTGAAGGTAACCACTATATACAGATAATGGTTGATGATGTCAAGTCTTTTTCAGTGGTATTTGTCTATAGCCCTAACAAGGAAGAAGAGCGTCGAATTCTATATCAAGAGTTGGTAAGCCTAAAGGATAATGGAGTGCCAATGCTTTATATGGGGGACTTTAACGCCATCTCTGAAGTAACTGATACTTCAAACATTCAGGTAATTACTCAAAGTATGCAGGATTTTCGTTATTGGATTCAAGGTATGGAGTTAACAGAACATAAGACAACTGGCAGCTGGTTTACTTGGTGGAATCATCAGAGGGATAATCCAATAGCTCGAAGAATTGATCGAATTCTTGTTAATGATGCATGGTTGGAAGGGTTTAAGGATAGTTCTGCTTACACAAACCCCCCTGGAGTATCGGATCATTGTGGTCTGATTGTGGACACAAATCCCAATCTGAAAACTCTACCTAGACCATTCAAATATTTTGTGTTCTGGCAATCCCACCCTAAATATTTGGATATCATTCTAAATGCATGGAAGAAGAAGGTTGTGGGGTACCCCTCTTATGTTTTCTATGGGAAGCTTGCTCAAGTGAAAAAAGAACTAAAGCAGCTCAATCGTGTAGCATACTCAGATATATCTTGTCGAGTAAGGGTGGCAGTTGAGGCACTGGAGAAAGCTCAGGAAAAGGTACTGAATGATCCTAGTGATATTAATGTTGCAGAGGAGCAGAAATTGGGAATGGAGTATGGGGAGCTTAAAAAGGCTGAGGAGCTTTACTATAAGCAAAAATCTAGAGCTCAGGCTATTCAGGAAGGAGATTCTAATACGGCTTATTTCCACAAGATGGTCAAAGTTAAAACACTGAGGCAACAGATAACCAGAATGCGAAATATCAGGGGGTCGATTGTTACAGATATACAGGAGATAGGTGCAGTTGCTGTGGATTTCTACACTAATTTAATTGGGACTGAAGACTCACAAGTCCAGCAGCAGTCAGTAGCCTTCTATCAAGAATTGTTACAACATAAACTCACTAGGGAAGAGGGTGAGTATCTACTGCAGGGAATTACTAGAGCTGAAATAAGAAATGTCTTCTTCTCTCTTGGCCGTGACAAGGCTCCAGGGCCAGATGGCTTTCCTGCGGAATTTTTTAGAGCTCATTGGGACATCATTGGGAAGGAGGTGGAAGAGGTAACTCTTTCTTTCTTTGCAACTGGAATTATGCCTGCTATAGTGAACAGCACTATTTTTACATTGGTAGCTAAGGTTCCTTGTGCTGAAAATATGAAGGATTTTCGTCCTATTTCGTGTTGTAACACGTTATACAAAGGAATTTCAAAGCTTTTAGCAAATAGGCTAGCTAATGTGCTTCCAAGTGTGATAAGTAGATCTCAATCAGCGTTTATAAAAGGCAGAGCTATTAGTGACAACATCTTATTAGTTTCTGAGCTTGTGAGGAATTATCACTATAAAAATATAAGCCCTAGATGTGTGGTAAAGATTGATATTATGAAAGCTTTTGATTCAGTAAACTGAAAATTTCTGTTTACTGTCATGGAAGCAATGGGGTTCCCATCTGGTTTCTTGAAGCTTCTATCTGCTTGTGTAACTACTCCGATGATTAAGATAGCTTTGAATGGGGGATTATGTGGTAATATCAGGGCACAAAAAGGTTTGAGGCAGGGTGACCCTCTGTCACCCTACCTTTTCACTATAGCTATGGAAGTACTGGATGGTCTTGCTGGGAAAGCAGCAAGGGAGAACCAGATCCCTTTTCACCCACGTTGTAAGCCATTAATGATCACGCATCTTTGTTTTGCGGACGATTTGATGGTTTTCACAAATGGTTCAGTGAGGGGTGTGGCAGGAATAAGAAGATTGATGGATAAATTTTATACTCTCTCTGGTTTGAAGTGCAATGCAGCTAAATGTCAACTATTTTGCGCTGGTATATCGAAGGAAGAGCAGCAGTATATCTCAACTATAACAGTGTTTCCTCTGGGATCCCTTCCTGTAAGATATCTGGGAGTACCTCTGATAACTGGTAAGCTCTCTAAGCAGGATTGTCAAGTGTTAATTGATAAGATTACACAGAGACTTAGAGGCTGGAGTTCGCGGTTATTGACTTATGCAGGTAGAGTACAGCTGATTTCATCTGTTATTTCTAGTACATTACAATATTGGCTTAACATTTTTCTGCTCCCTAAGTATATAATTAAGGAGGTAGAAAGGCTGTGCAATGAGTTTCTTTGGGACTCAGCGGAGGGAGGTTCAAGGAAGAAGGCTGTGATGGCATGGCAAAAACTGGCACTACCAAAATGTGAAGGGGGTCTGGGAATAAGAAATTTCAGCCTCTGGAACAAAGCTTGTGTGTTAAGGCATGTATGGGAGATTTTGACAAACGGTGGTTCACTCTGGGTAGCCTGGGTCTCAAGGTATCGATTGAAGCAGAGGACATTATGGGATATAACGACATCATCTGCAGGGACATGGATTTGGAGGCAGTTTTTGAAATGCCGAGATATTGCTGCTGGTTTTATTTCAGGTGCTTCCCCCAATCTGTGTTGGCAAGGGCAGCAGATGCAAAGGTACTCCGTTAAAAGAGTATGGAATGCAATAAGAGAGCGCAAGACTACTGTGGAATGGCATAAATTGGTTTGGTCAAAGGAAATTATTCCTAGACATGGCTTTACCCTATGGATGGCTATACAAGACAGATTGATATTGCAGGATAAACTTCTGGCTTGGGGCAAACAGGTATCTGGACTATGCCTTTTATGCCCGGGTGGTGTTGAAACAATTCATCATCTACTGGTTTCCTGTGCCTATACTGTATCGGTTCTCAGAGGATGTATGAGGCAATTAGCTCCTCCAGGGGAGGGAGACTGGACTATAGTGGTGACCTGGTGTTGTAGGCAGTGGGGGAAAAAGATTCCAAGACATGGTTTGTGTAGGCTGATGTGGAGTTCAGTGATCAGTTACGTGTGGCGGGAAAGGTGTAGTCGAATGTATGGCTCAAATGGAATTCGACCTCCTGATGTGTTAGTGAAGCAAGTGAAATCTGATGTAACTCATAGAGTGTTTAGTGACCCTGCTCTCCAGGCGGAATTAGAGTATATAGATAGTATACCTTGACAGGTTTTTCTTTGTTTTGGTTGTAATTGTTTGAGAGGCACATCAAGATTTTCCTTGGTGTTTTTGCCGGCGCTCCAATACAAGTTTTTTTGATTCGCATCAAAAAAAAGAAGTGGCAGAGGCGCAAGAAAGGTATGTGCATTGCGAGATTATATAATTGTTAGTATAAAACCTTGAAAATCAATAAGTCACAACAAAATAATGAAATGAGAAAGGTGAATGTCTGAAGGATAAATGAGACACACAATTTACGTGGGAAACCTTAGTATAGTGGTAAAACTACGAAACAAACTAATACAAAATTTATAATAAAAGAATTATCGTACAACAACCAAGATCCAAGCTCTACCCACACTTGAACCTTACAACATAAATACATAATTACGAGAGACAAAACCAAACCATAAGTCTCAATAGTTTCACAATATCTCACTTTCGGAAGATAAACCAAAATATCAATATTGATGAAACACCTAAGAAAATACTTATGCAATGAATTAGGATGGTTCTGCCTAAATTGGTATCCAAAAATCAAGAAGACTCGGTTTGAGGTAGGCAGATATCAAAAAACGATTTGATTACAATTAAGTTGGTGGATAGTAGGAGAAGGAGTAAAAGTCGGGTTTTCTGTTCAAATTGAAGATTGAGGAGCTGTTTGACAATGTTAACTTGGGTTTCCCGTTTAAGGTTCTTTCAAGCTTGGATTTTCTCCCTTATGGCTGCAATGGTGAAGCTAAAGGTTTTTCCCCATCTAGACAGGCCTACGAAAATGCGTAACTCATTTAGTTACCTTTGGAGAATGAGATGCCTGCAACATAGAGGATAGGTTAATTTGGGAGATATGGCTTGCAATGTTCACCATTCACTAGTAATATGTTCCCTTTGTTGTTATAGAGATCCACTGCTCCATATTGATTGACCATATGAATATTGTAAAGTCTCATCCATCGAGATCTAAGCATTTCTGGATGTAGTCGTAGTCTTGGGTTAAAGAGGAGAACTTGTTCACCTGATTGAAGGTCCTTTAATTTCATAAAATCTTTGCATTTTTGAACCTTTTCATCTTCTCGTTGTATAACTTTGTGTTTTCATAGACATGGAATTGGAAGTATTTGAGTTCATGGAATTGTTATTTTATTTCCCAACCTGCTAATGAAAGATCCAGATTTAGCTCCTTGATAGCTAGTAAGCATAATGCTCCACCTCTAGTGGAAGATGACATGCCTTCCCGTAAACCATTTCATAGGGTCAAGTTCGTGTAGGATTCATGTATGCTATTAGATAAGCCTAGAGAGCGTCATCCAACTTGACAGACCAGTCCTTTCTTGCTTCAACGGTTTTCTAAAGTATTTGCTTGATCATTGGTGACATCCCCATGTGGGTTATTAAATTGCTTACATGGCTCGACTAAGTATAACATCTTGATCCAAGTATAACTCAATGGTCATGCAACTAGCACCCCCTCTTAATACAATCCGCTGGCCCAATGTCACCTCGATCAAGTTCAAAGATACTAGGGATGCGGTCTAGACCCTTTTAATAGGTTTCACCTATCTGCACACTAGTTCGACATATCGATGGTCACGCAAGCATCGCCCTAGCATTACCTAGGGGGCATCCTAACTGGGGGAAAATGTCAGCTCGTCCACCAATCGGCCACTAGATTATTCATCTATACTAACAAGCCAAACCGCTCAAATCCACAACTATGTCATGCAATTCTAAGTAGTAGGCTATCATGAAGCATATAGAGAGACAAGTTCAAATCATAATTAACAGAGATAAATGTATATTAAATCTAGGTAAACTCATTTCATTCACAAACCCTAAAAAAAAATTCATTCTACATAGTAAAACCTAAATCTTGGGTTTGGGGATTAAACCCCTAATACCTTGAGTTCGGGAAAGATCCCTTTCTTCTTGGCTTCTCCTTCTTTCAGCTTCTCTCTCTAACCTCTCTCTAAAATCAAAATTTTACCAAGTATTTTTTTTAGCTCTCGTGTATAGTGGAAGGGTCCTCTATTTATAGAGTTAAAGAGGAAAAGCAAGTTCACGGTTGCGAGATGGAAGTTCACGGCGGTGAAGGCTCATGTAGATGAGAATGCTTGACACATCACCAATGGACCCTCTCTTCAGCTTTTCTCTTCTTCTCTTTTTCTCGAACCAAATCAAGCATCCTCGAAGGGTCATCGTTGGACCTATCAAAGATGGATTAGTGATACCATGGGCTCGTCTCGGCAAAGAGTTGATGAAAAAAGGTCCAATGCTATGAGTCCTTCAAGGCCGGGTAACGTTCCAAGGTCAAAGTAGATGGCCTTCTCAGGCGCACAAACACGAATTAACCACAAAACATCTTCATATTTTTCTTCAACCTCATCTCTCTCTCTCTCTCTCTCTCTCTCTCTCTCTCTTCATTCATATCTTCCCCATACTGAGTATCAAAGTGTCTCACACTTGCCTAAAATCACAAGTTTATGAACCTATATCATAGCAACTACCTCTCATTTCTAAATCTTCATCAACAATACATGCTAAAGTATAAAACAAAGTGTGGAGAAATGAGAAAGGAAGACGGAGATGGGAAATAGCGAAGCAGATTGAGAGTGAAGACGCGCAAAAAAAAAAAAAGAAACTAAGGGCTTGTTTACTTTCAATTTTGTTTCCTGTTTTTGAGAAAACAGATGTTGAAAACGGGTGAAAACAACATTTTGTCGTTTCCGAAAACAACAGGAAGTTGCCACTTTCTGTTTTCATAGTTGGAAACGAATAGAAAACAGAACGAAAAGTAAACAAGTTTTCTCGTTTCAGTTGCCAAATTTATGACATGAAAACAGAAAACGAAAATGGAAGTGAACATGACCTAAGATAATGACTATTTATTAGCCAAACCTTTTTCAGATTCTTTTTTATTAGCCAAACCTATCAAAATACTAAGAATTAGCCAAAAGTTAACTTCCAGTTAGCAAATTTGTTAGTAATATTGACTTGGCAACATGATACTGACTTGGAAGAGACACACGAAGGTCAACTTTCCAAAATTTTAGTATTTTAACTAAAAAAAGAGTTACAAAATTATTAACGATAACATAAAAATGGCTAATATTATGATGCATTACAAAAGATTTGGCAAATTAATAGCATTTAATAGGTTTGGATAATATAAAAGAATGTAAAAAAGGTTTGGATAAAAAATAGACATTACCCAAGAAACTACTCTATAGATGGTCGTCTCTAACTCTAGCCTAGCAGCTAGGAACAATTGGGAGGAGAAGAAGGAAAAGGAAGGACGATCTTGATTTCTCTATAACCTAGTAGCATATGAAAAGGTAGAAAAAGACATTGTGACTTCATTTTTAGGCGCAACTCAATGTTAAATAGGCGTCACTGAGGCCACAAAGTTATCATGATGCCTTATCCACTGCTTTTGGGCAAGGTGATGTGTTTTCCTTCTGACTTGCGTCTAGGCGAGCTTAGGCGAGTGCCTAGGCGCGCTTTTTAGAACATTGGTTATTGATGAGAGTTTAGGAATGATAGATAGACAAGATGGTATAAGGGTTTAGAAATGCTAGGAGCTAGATAGAGTCTCAATTTCCACTTTACTTCTAACGCTTTCTTGGACGTTGGTTTATTTTATCCTGTGGATTGATAGATTTTTCCATACCTATCCCAGATCCAATATTGATTGATCTCTACAAATATGTACATATGGAATAATAATTATTAGATATATAAGGCCTAAGCGAGTTCGAAATTTGATAATGACGATAGCACTCTATTCACACAACAAGTCCAGCATTGTAGTTTGCTAATGTCTCATGCTTTTGAAACCTTTACATTTTTCTGTATAATTTAGTTGATATGACATGAACAAGAACAAATAATCGCATCACTAATATTAGTCGAAGGGTTTTGTTTACTTGTTAGCTGCAAAGACTCTTTCCATGGAAAAGACTAAAACCTTGTCAATTAAAAATTAATTAAATATTAACGTAAACCACTTAATCATCTTCCCCAACACCTCCTACTCGGAGACTGCCAAAACAAAGTATCAGAAGACGAGATTTCTTATAATTTACATGGCTAACACTCATTATGTATTGGGACTTTAGAGCGGCTACAGAAGATTTTATTGGTAATTGATTCAGTTAGATGGTTATTTGGGTGAGGTATCTGCTTAACTTTAATTCATAAACCAGAAAAGAAAAAAAAATAAAGAGAAGAAAGGACAATAATTAGTATCACACAAGCATTTTTCAGTTACGCCAAAGTTTTCTCTCCCAAAGTTTTCTCACACAAGCATAATTAGTATCTGCTTAACTCTGTACACCGTGTTTCTTATGAATGAAACAACCAACCCTAGTCCCTAGCCACCGTGGAAACTTCTCACCGCATTTGAATTTTACACTGTAATTGCTCTCTTTGATCCGACTAATTAAGTATCAATTAATTTAACTAAAAATAAACAAAATTGAATGCTAAACTCACGCGTTTAAGAAGGTGATATTCGCCTTATAATTAGGTAAACACCTTGCTCACATATTTCATGGTGAATGAGGTGTTCAAAACGCGACAGCGGAATAATGCAACCATTAGTATTACCTATCCATAGATAGGTGTAGCAAGATGATTAATCATCATCGAAGTCACCACTTCCCAGCATTAACCTTGATAAATCGGAACATTAAACTTGAGAAATTATCATTGTAAGTGTTATGTGTTTTTGTGTTATTCTTATTCATGATTTTTCTTCTTCTTATTATTTCATCTTTATTTTTATAAGGGCTTTAACTTCTTCGATTTTACCGTTTTATTTTACAATTCTGATTTTATCCTCATTTTCGATTAAGTCCTGATTTTGACTGCTATGGATATGAGGTCGACACAAGATGTTTCTCGATTCAATTCTAACAATCAATCATCATAAAAAAAATTATTGCTGGCCTCCCGTAGAACTATAAGCTCGAATCGGTAACACTTGTAGGTTGGTCGAGTATTCATTATACTGAATTTTTTTTTCAACATACACATTATATATACAAATCCCTTAAAGAAAAAATTTATGAAATGACATCTATTTGTCTAACAATTAAACTTGTAGTTTATTGCATACAAGACACTTCGAAAGGTACCTGATTCCACTTACTCAAGTATACTTATTTTTTTCGGCTAAATAATTAATTAATTAATTCAGTCCATAATTAATTCCCTCCACGCTGAATCCTCCAGCTAGTCAATAAGGTTTCTCCTCCCTCACAGACTCTGTAAATTCGTCCACCTGCCCTGTTCTCCAATATATAACAACGCCAACATCTCGATATCGATTCAAATATATTTTTTTGCAGATTCAATTCATTCTTTCAAATCTAATTTTTTCCATTTCTCCCCATTACAGCCATTCATTCATTTACTAACTATAATTCCCCCAAACAACAGGCAATATACCATGATGCCTTCTCCTTCCCTGTTCTTCGTCATCATCACAATTGCTCTGTTTCTATCCTCGAGCAAAACCGCAGCAGCTAAAACCGGACCAAAGAAGCCACCACCCAATAGCCACAACCACCACCACCCGCCGCCGCCGCCCAATCATCCGCGCCTGCCTCGACAGCATGGCATTACTACCACAAAAGCGCCACCGCACCCTGGCTACCTGCCCAGCTCCAAGTTCAAGCCCACAAGCTTCCGCAAATGTTACAGAAACCTTTGGGGCGAGGGGCATCAAAAGCTCGACCCATCCGGTCTAACCGTGTGGCTCGACCGTGCTTCAGGTCAATTGGATCCATCTCCAGACCCTCCTCCTCTGTTTCTTGGCCTTCTTCCCCTGAACTTGTACTACTTTTTTTTGGTGTGAGAAAAAACAGGGAGTGGGTTCAAATCGTTGAAGGCGTATCGGTCTGGTTACTTTGGCGCTTCCATCAAGCTTCAATCTGGTTATACTGCTGGAGTTAACACAGCATTCTATGTGAGTGATCAGGGAGATTAGCTAAGGATCAATTTCTGGGGGCAGCTTTTTTCATAATGTGATTGGAAATTCTGAATGAATGAATTATGTGTGTGTGTAGTTGTCGAACAATGAAGCTCATCGAGGGAAGCATGACGAAGTGGACATTGAGTTTCTGGGGAGGACATGGAAGGAGCCTTACACGCTGCAGACCAATGTGTACGTAAGAGGGAGTGGGGATGGAGGCAACATCGTAGGGCGAGAGGCCAGGTTCCATTTGTGGTTCGATCCCACAAAGCATTTCCACCGTTATGCCATCCTCTGGAATCCCAAAGAGATCATGTGAGTAAAATCTTAATCAGATTTAGTTTTCCACCCTAATCACTTGATCCCCAATAAGTTCTGTTTTTTGTCCTTGATGACCAGTGCGATTTAGTACAAAATTTTGTTACAATATATTAGATGTATGTAAATTGCATGTGAAACCCACTCTCCTCTACTTGTCAAATATCCAACCCTCTCACAAAATTATTCTTGCTACCGTCCTACATTGCTAATAATGAAATTGATTGTTTGTACATCATTTCCATTCACACCCCCTAAAATTTCAATTTACACCTCTATCATTTCTGATAACTTAAATATTTTTGTTGGTTTGTTTCTCAAATTCGGTTTTGAATTGTTTGAACTCATCAACCGTCTTATGTTGGCTACTACCCAAATAGACATAGCCATAACGAGTGCTATCATCAATAAAGGTTATGATGTACTTTTTTTCACCACAAGATGGTGTTGACTTCATGTAAAAAATGTTCATGTCAATCAAGTCCAAAGGTTTAGAATTCTTCTTGATGGAATCGTAGGAATGTTTTCTAAACTTTGACTCCACACATAATTGACATTTTGATTTATTGCATTCAAACTTGGGCAATATTTCTAGGTTTATCATCATCCGTAAAGATTTGTAATTTACATGGCCCAAACGTGCATGGCACAAAGTATTTGACTCAACTGAATGTACAAAGACAACAATATCCAAATGGTGATAGAAAGTTGAAGCTTTAGTCTTGATAGAGTAACAAAGTCCAAAAACAATAATCTCTGAAGACAACAATCTATCTATCTATTTATCTATCTATTTATAGACGAACACTAAATGTAACTATATATATTGACGAGCATAGAATGTATTTAGGCAAACAATATCAACTAAGCATGGGTAAGATGAAAGACCATAATCTAAAAGATTTCCTAAAGCTTGTTGTATTTCAAGTTATACTTATATATCTTAACATACAAGTTACAAGCATATCATTGATGTTAAGTGAAATAGAAGGAAAATAATTAAGGACACGAATGATTGATCAACATGCATATACTTGTCATTCATAATCTGCTCAAACTAGCAAAACTGGTACCTCCTACTCGTGAACTAGATGCAAATCGAATATCTTTTTACTTGATGATTCATACCTGCTACTTGATGATTGAATCCCTTTATTTTCTCACATTTGCTTTTTCTTGGTAATTAGAGAACTATTATGCGCATAGTAAATGTTTAACTGTTTGGGCAGATTTCTTGTGGACGATATCCCAATAAGGAGGTACGAGAAGAAAAGCATAACGACCTTCCCAACAAGGCCAATGTGGGTCTATGGCTCTATATGGGATGCTTCAGATTGGGCAACAGATGATGGGAAATACAAAACTGATTACACATACCAACCGTTTGTTTCACAGTACAAGAACTTCAGATTAGCTGGTTGCTCCTCCAGTGCAACGCCACATTGTCGACCAGTGTCTGCTTCCCCTTACCAGTCTGGTGGACTATCGAAGAAACAGTTGATGGCAATGAGATGGGTGCAAAAAAACCGTATGGTTTATCACTACTGCATGGACACAACAAGGGATCATTCACTCACCCCAGAGTGCAAGAAGCTACCAAAAAAGAAAACATCTTAGATTAGACTGAATAGTGACCCAACAATTTAATAGTTAGAGATTTTTAATTTATAGCATGAGAAGGACACATATAAAATTATCATAACTGTAAATTTGAAAATTGATTATGTGTCAAGCACGTTGTGTAAGGGCGTATTTCCTTACCAACAGTGGTATACTCGTCTTAGATTGATTGGAAAGTCACCACTGCCTCTCTTCTCTTCTATCGAGCCCCTTGTATACCCTATTCGTACACTGCGTTTGCTGAGTATAGTCTCACGAAACCTCCCCTTTTATCCGAATATAACAAATTTGAAGGTCATAAATAAAAACTTTATGCAAATGCAAGAAAGTTACAAATCAAACTCCAAATTTTAAGCAACAACGCATTTGCTTTCCATTTTTCTGCAAGAAGTAAAAAAGATAAATCTGTCTAGGGAGAGCTATGGCATTTGGATTAAAAATCATAGCTTCAAGGTAAAGTTAAACCAAAGGCCAAAATCACATCAACGACATGGACTTTAGTCACGCCGAGATGCTAGCTAAAGTGTTAGTGCCCAAAATCCAACATATGCTGATCAATTCCATCTCAATAGACCATATTTATTAATCTAATAAGTATTATGATGTTCCAATAATACGTTTGTTGTTTTTATAATATAAGGAGAGTTTAAAATATTTTTGGTTTAAATGTTTGAGGACTCGAGTTAAGGCAGTGAGTGCATCAAATCACTAGTATATGTTGGGTGAATTCGTATAGTTGACATGAATTTTACATGTGGCTATAAGGGTTGGAGAAGCAAGATCTTGAATTGATGAATAGACCATGAATACATTATGAAATTTTCATAAGTATTTCTCAAAATGGTAATAAGTGTACAAGAGTACTTAGACTTAGATTTTCAAACTATGCTTTGTGTCCTTTGACAAAGATTACAGAGCTAGTCATTGAGTTTAAAGCAAAACATCCAATAGATTTTTATCATGTAAAAGATGATTTTTCTTTCCTTTGTGGGTAATTATATCTCTAGGTCTTTTGTGTATAAATCTATGAAATGATATTCGTTTATCAACACTTATTTAGATTACCTTCTCTATGATGAAAAAATTAAATTGGTGAATATCAAACAAGCATGAAAATTTCATGAGGTTGGCTTCGATCTTGATATTTCATCAGAAGGACACATGTGTATGACATGATCATAAAGTGTACAATATTATGAAATTATGGGAAACAATTTATTGCTAGAACTGCTTATTGTGTATGATCATTGCGACCATTGCTACGTGGATCATAACACGTTAGATCATGTAAAGTAAACACTAAATGAGGTTCACATGAGTTGATTTATAGCCAAGTACTTTTGTTAGTAGATTTAGAAAAGAGGCTATAATCCAATCATCATGCAATTATACCCTCGTTAATTCTATTGATGTGTTCAAATTTTGACTTAATTGTATGGTCACGTCTTAATGTCACGGACATAACTACAATAGCCATCAGTGATCTTCTTAGTTCTCCATTCATATGTGTTGCTATGGTATTTTATCTCGATAAGCTGCCTCCACCAGCTGGTTCTCTCAGTAGCATACCTCCATAACCACTTGCCAAGAAGAGCGTTGTTGAAACTTTGCAAATCAATGGCTCCAATACCCTCCTGCTTCTTGGAGGCTTTACACAGGTCTCATCTTACCAAGTGCATCTTATCCTCATCACCAGCCCCGCTCCATACGAATCTTGTTTGTATTTTTTCCATGATATCAATGGCAGTCTTTGGCGCTCTAAGCAGTGAGAAGGGATACACAGGGAGGCTATTCAGCGTAGAAGTATTTTTCCATGATATCAATTGTTTTCCACCCTTGCAATTGCTCATTATATTTCTGGATCACAGGATTCCAAAGAGACACCGCGTTAGGACGTTCTCCAAGAAGAAGCCCGAGGTATTTGGAAGGGTCGAGGCTCCAATTGCACCTGAAAATTGCCTCAAAGTAACTAGGATTAGGGACATTACCGATCGTAAACATGATCGATTTGTCGAGGTTAATCCTTAAGCCCGTAACTACAATCATCCACTAATCAAATCCCTACAACTAGAGTTTGGCTTCCTAAGAAACTAGAGAAGCTAGAACATAGGAGAGAAAAAATGTACAAAGAAAAATAAGAACACCAATCCAAAACTAAATCCATCTTGTCGTTCTTAATTTGGCCATACTTCTTGAAATTTGGAAGAATTTAGGATTGAATTGATGAAAAAATCTCCCAAAAACTCCAAGTTAGTCACTCTCGGTCTACAACTTCACCACACTTAGTTCTTCTCTCTCCAGGGTTTGATCCTTGTGAGAAATCTACTCCTTCTACTTATACCCTCGTGTCCATCATAGATCATCACTGATTACACATTCATAATCTTTCATTTCAGGTCGTGGTCTTCTCTCTAGGGTTCGCTTCTTGTGAAAAGCCAACTCCTTCTACTTATACCCTCATGTCTATCAAAGATCATTGCTGAGTTCATAGTCGTAATCTTTGACTTCAGGTGTGGACTCCATATGGGAAGGGAGAGATCTTGGCATGAGACAAAATTTCATGGTCGGGATCTTCAAATCAAGGTCGTGAACCTCAGGCCACGAAATAGGCCACGAACCCTCTATTTCTTCCTTCTTTGCACCCTTCCAATGGCCTCTAAATGACATGAAACTTGGTACAAACCTTCCTGAACATGCTTGGACATGAAATTAATTGGAAAAACAAAACATAGCATAGAATAATACAAGAATGATAAAGTTACGAGTCAAATGGCCAAAAATTGGCGCCCGCGACATAGGGGCCGACTCTCGAAGTTATGGCGGGGAGTTCTCCGGGTCTTACATGTCCTCCCGGGGGCGACTATGTGGAACATTAGAAGCGGTCAGCAAACCCGCTTTTGGACGAATACTTGGCTGCAGGAAGGCCCGACTCTCGCAGAATTGGCTCACTCCCTCCCACAGGAATCCCTGTCTCTCACGGTGGTCGACATGGTGCTTAACGGAGAGTGGAATTTGACATATCTCCAGGCCTTCTTACCTCCTGATGTGGTAATGCAGATTCTGTTGCACCCGGTGCCCCATGAAGTAGAGCATGACGTGCCAGTTTGGAGGTTGAGCCCAGATGGGTGTTTCTCCCTCAAAACGGCATACCCCCTCACGGGAGAGGAGGAACAACCAGGTGGTACGCATCCTCTTTGCGTGCAATTTGGCGTATACCGGCTACTCAGCGGATTCGTACATTTTCTGGCTTGTGGGGCATAGAAGGCTCCTCACGAACGGAGAAAGGAGACGTCGTCACCTTACAGCAACGGATGTGTGCAAGGTTTGTAGTGCTGAAGGGGAATCCACACTTCATGTCGTGTGGGATTGTCCCTATGCAAGAGAAGCCTGGTCCGAACTACTAGGGATGGAACCAGACACCACCTTCTTCCAGGCTGACTTGATGTGTTGGGCTCTCCACTACTTATCGGGCAAGAGCGAGGTGATCCACCCCACCAGGTTTGCAGTGATGTGCTGGATGCTCTGGAAGAATCGCAAAAACTATGTTTTTTAGAAGCACCTAGAGTCCACATGCATACTACGTAATAATGCTATCATGCTCCAGTCACAGATACAAGAGGCTGCAGGTTTGGTAGCCAAGGTGTTCGAGGGGCATGGTGAATATACCAGGAGTATGGTGGGTTGGAAGCCTCCCGCGCAAGGCTGGACCTGCCTGAATTCGGATGGCTCGGTGGTGGCGGGTAAAGCAGCAGCAGGAGGGGTGGTCCGGCGTGATGATGGCAGATTTTTGGGAGGCTTTTCAATGAACCTGGGTGAAGGATCGATCACGAAGGCAGAACCAGCAAGCATTGTTCAAGGATTGAAGGTAGCATGGGCACTAGGAGTTCGGCAGCTGGTGGTTCAAACAGACTCTAAGGCGGCTCTACAGCTGCTTTCCTCGGCGGGTCCTCGCAATCCCCACTCTGTGTTGATCACTGAAGCTAGAAGACTTTTGGAGCTGGAATGGCATGTGGAGCTGATTTATACGTACAGGGAAGGAAACATTGTCGCGGACTATTTGGCAAATTTGGGTCATGGTCTCTCGCCAGGGGTTCATACCATTGATGTCCCATCTCCTACTCTATCTTATTGGTTGTATCATGACTTGATTGGGTTTCTAACCCCTCGTTTGATTCCTACTAGTTAAAGGTTGGAGCTCCCTTAGCGCTCCGTTTCCCACAAAAAAAAGGCCAAAAATTGGTATCGTGTTAAACCCGCTACACTATTCACCAGGTCGGGTTGGATTTGGGTTTAGGTAAACCCGCCCCATGGGTACCCGCTCACACATATAATTACTTTCCCGATATATTTAATATTCTAAATAATATATCTTCCTTAAACAACTAATATTCTTTATGTTTGTGGAGACATGTATAATTTGTTCTTTCTAATGGTTTAGAATGAAGTTGATATAATGAAGTGGAGAGTGAAGAAACTTAGTTGACGAGGAAGAAGCTTTCAATTAATCTTATTATTTATAGATGTTTATCTTTAATTTTGAACAATTTGTATTGATCATTTGCGGTTTGCTTGTATGCTCTAGATTGGTGTTTTTTGTATGATTAATTTGTATGAGAAAATTGATGTTAAACTTTTATTTTGTATTGTAAATTTTTTACCACAAAAACCCATGGGTATCCATGAACCCGCGGATATCCAGCGGGTTGGGTTGGGTTTGAGTTTTTCAAACCCAAGGGGTTTTACCCCGAATTTTTTTGGCGGATAAATCCATGGGTTTGGGTATGACAAAACCCGCCCCAACCCGGCCCATTGACATTCCTACCGTTAAAGTGATGGACGAAAGTGGTTATCTTGTGTATTTTGAAAGTATTGACTATAAAAATCACACACGTGAAAATTGTAATCATGTAAGTGGGCATTACCAACAAAAAAAAAATGAAATGTGAATGCACCAAAGTGACGCTTGACACCAATTTCCTAAAGATGGATTCAAAATTGCCCCTAGAATAGATGTACTCTACAACATAACCAAACCAACAAGCTGACATTTTGCACTCCATAACCTCTCCCCGCTTCACAAAAAATGTGGTAATTTACTTTTTATCAATACAAGCTATAAAATTCTCTCATTCTATTTTTACCTCTTCTTTTTTCCCCTTCAACTACACTGCCTCTCCTCCATACCCAAGAAGACTCATGTAAAGAACTCCCCAAGCTGTCTCCATCTCTCCCTCCCACTCTGTCAAGTTGATGCCACAAAACTTTATATATAAAACCCTCCCCTCACCCCCCTCTATTTCCATTTCCCTCAAACACATACTAGACAAACACACTTATTTCCCACCTCACCTAATAAGCTCTCTCCAATGGCTTCTTCCTTCCCTTCCTTTCTCCTCATTCTTTTCTTCCTCTCTTCCTCTATCAGCATGGCTACAGCCAGGCCCCCTCGCCCTGGCTACCGCCCGAGCTACCGGTTCAGATCAATGGCTTTCTACAGAGGTTACAGAACACTCTGGGGTCAGTCCCATCAAAGAGTGGACAGAAATGGAGTCACCATTTGGCTGGATAGAACTTCAGGCATGGCTGCTGCCACCACTACAACACAAAACACATAGTTTGGTCTCTTTAATTACTACTTCTCCTCCTCTTCACTAATCATTTGTTTCCATTTGCTCTGTCTGTCAATTTTTTTTTTTTTACAGGAAGTGGGTTCAAGTCAGTGAAACCATATCGATCTGGGTATTTTGGCACTTCCATTAAGCTCCAATCTGGCTACACCGCTGGAGTTAACACTGCTTTCTATGTGAGATCAATAATCATTCACAGTTACACAACTTTCTCTGTTTTCTTCTGGGCCCTGAAATGAGTCACTTGGATTTTAGTGCTTGTTGGGAGAATCTCAGCTTATCATTTACTTAACTGGGACAGGGGGCTGTCTTTCACTAATTAGGAACCACTGATTAATGCCCATTATTATTAATGATGTGTTGTCATGAAAAAGGTAACTGACAGACAGCTTTGTTATTTTTTTTACTTGTGCAGCTCTCCAACAGTGAAGCTCATCCAGGGAACCACGACGAAGTGGACATTGAGTTCCTGGGCAAGACATTCGACGAGCCTTACACTTTGCAGACCAACGTCTACATTAGGGGAAGTGGGGATGGAAGGATCATCGGGAGGGAGATGAAGTTCCATCTCTGGTTCGATCCCACCAAAAATTTCCACCACTATGCCATCATCTGGAACCCCAGGGAGCTCATGTAAGCACTGCAGTACAGATCATAAAACTTTGCTCTGCCCTGTTATTAATTCAATTGAAGCATTTTGATTAGATTGAGACCGATTCATGGGCCGCCGCGTGGCGATGTGCATTATTGTGAAAACAGGGGAGGGGGGAAAAAGCATATTATTTTTGTGATTGTCCCTGATTGTGTCCTGTTTTTTGTTGCTTTTTTGGGGGGAAAAGATTCTTGGTGGACGATGTGCCAATAAGGAGGTACCCGAGGAAAAGCGCGGCGACGTTTCCACTGAGGCCGATGTGGGTATACGGTTCCATATGGGACGCATCGGCTTGGGCGACGGACGACGGCAAGTACAAAGCGGACTACAGGTACCAGCCATTCGTGGCGACCTACAAGAACTTCAAGGCCAACGGGTGCACTGCCTACGCGCCGCGGTGGTGCAGGGCGGCCACCGCGTCGCCGTACCGGAACGGCGGCATGACCCGGCAGCAGTACAGCGCGATGAGATGGGTGCAGAGGAACCATATGGTGTACAACTATTGTTGGGACTCGTCGAGGGACCGTTCCCTAACGCCGGAGTGCAGAATGTGACAACAACAACAAAAAAAAACACACACAAAAAGGGGGCATATTTGGGGAAAATGGAAATTAGTCAAATTTGTCTTGGTGGGGGAAATATTGGGTATTGGGATCATGTCATTTTCACAAGTGTTATATGTTTTTATTTTTATTTTTGGGGTGGTAATAAGTTATGTTATATTTTTTTTTTTTAAGTATATGTGTCCTTGTACTTGTTGTGGGCAGCATTATTGAAGAAGGGCAGTTGGGATATTGAGTTTTAGTGGGTGAATGAGAATTGGGTAAATCATTTTTCTCTCTGTATTTCTTTGTTAGTTTACTTACTTTGTTGCTGTATTTTTTTTTTTTTTCCTCCCTTGCCATTATTGGTGGTAGTGGTATTATTGTGTACATTAAATGAGCAGAATAAGAAGAGGGAAGAATTAACACAAATACTATGTTTGGGAAGGGGTGTAAATGGAAGGGGGTGCAAGTTTGGAGGGGTAAACACAAGTTCCAAGGTGTTTACCCCCGTTTGGTTATTTTGTAACAGTAGGGGGGTGCAAAACGTGAGCGTAAATTCACTGTTTCGGCTTACCCCCCAAATTGGGGTGCAAGGGAAGGAAGGAAGGGAGGGGGAAGGGGGAGGAGGAGAATTATGAATTTTTAATTAGATTATAATTACATAATAATTAATATTATTAATTTTTTCTTATATCTATATTAGTGTAGAAGTTGTTTGGGGTTGACCGTTTGACTCAGAGAGCAAGTTTGTCAATGTTCGCCTCGTCAAATCGATATCTCTTAGTTGACCCGAATTTGCATTGAAAATTAGAGATAAGAAGCATTTGTTGAAAAGATAGAGAGGAACAGTTTAGTTAACTCGATTTACTTTAATAAGTAGTTAAAACTTACAGATTCGAACGTGTTTGACTAAGTTTGACCATATTCAATTTAAAGTTAGGCACGAGAACCCCCTTAGGATGACCAGTTACGAGTTGGATTTCGAGTTTCGAGGTTGCTCGACCAATGATTATTATTGTTGCTATAAATAATTATATTTGAGCATTATTATATAATAATTATTTTTATTAAAATTATTTTTATTTATTATTTTTATTTATTATTTTTATTATTATATATTGAATTTTCATGTTATTATTTTGTGATAATATTTTATAAATTGATAAATCTATTTTATAATAATATAATTACTTACTTTTTACTCTATTTGCACCCCCCTACTTTTTCATCCAAACAACAATTTACCCCTCCACTTACACCCTCCACAAAGTTGCACCCCCCAACAATTTACCCCTCAACTTGTACCCCCCTCGAACTTGCACCCCCCTTGTTGCCAAACATAGTGAAAGGGAAATCTCATCTGGAAATGAAGGAGTTAGGGGCAGGTAGTAAAAGAACAGAGATTGCAATAAATGTGACGTAGTGAGAGACTAAATTGATGAAAGAAAAGATGGGAGGAGAGTGGAGAAGAATGGGAAAGGGGGGATGGGGTCATTCTAAAAGCCATCATTTCGGTGCATGGGATAATGGGCATTCAGATTCAAGTTGTGTGTCTATGCATCACTCCCTAGTCCCTTCCTATCTCTCTCTCCCAAGCTTGTCGAACCGGTTTATACCGTTATGCTGGTTTGGCAAGTGAAATGATACGACCGGCGGTATAACCAGTTTGTACTGATTCATGCCGGTAAAAAAAAAAGTGAAAACAATTGATATTCAATGTATTTAATCATATATAAAATATATTGGTGGACAATTTAGTTACAATCCAACATATATCATCAACTTTTAACCATTAAATTCATAAAAGTGAATAATTAAATATTTTTTATTAAATAAATTTATTAAAATGATGTCATTTTGCTTAGAATGCGTAAGTCGATCATACCGGTGGTGTCATGTCGGTTTCATGACCGGCACAGGTTGAACCAGGTTTAACCAGGTGGCATGCCACCGGCATGACAACCATCTACGCATGTATTTAGCCTTACATATAACATATTTGAAAACAATATATCTAAAATCTACATCCATATTTAAATAACATGAAACATTTCAAACAAAATGAAAAATAGGAATATTTAAATACAATATTTAATGCCAACATCTAAACATGTGTACTTAAATCCAGCAAATAACATAAACAACTTTTAAATTCAAGTAAAAAAATTATATATTTTTTAAATTAAATTCACCACAATTGGATCATTTTGTTTATAGATCAAAAATCGATCATGATAGTCACATTGAACATATTCGAGTCGATTTTGTAACCAATACTAGCAGAATCCGATTGCACTTCCTGGTATACCATCAGCTTGACGAGCATGCTATACATGCCCTCAGTTCACCTAGCTTCCTTGATTTGGTGTAGTTAAATCGATGTATTGTCATCAATGCATGCATAATAATATACATATATAAAAGAAAATTGGTGTATGTAGTTTACATCGTTTGGTTTCTGTGATAGTTATTATAGTATTTAAATAAATGTTATCACTTTTTGGGTGAAATGCCACTTTTACCCTTTGTTTTTAATATAAAAAAGCAACACACATAAAAAGGTAGGGATATATTTGGAAGAAAGAAGAAAACATAACAATCTCCATCAAACAATCTAAACAATCTTAACGAAAACTTGAGATTTAACTATCACTCATTTTGAGTGATAGTTTGTGTCAAATCAAGCAAACAATGCATGTATTGTTTGCACAGAAAATTCAAAAAAACGATGCATTGTGGACATTACATGTATTGTAACTATCCCAACCAAACTATCACCAAAATCAAACGAACCTTGAATTCTTAACTAGTTAACTTTTTATTTTATTTTATGGAAGTGTGACTACTTGGCCAGTTTATTTGCAAGAAAACTAGAGAAAAGGAAGGAAAGAGTTGGTCTTCATTTGTACATTTATTAGATGCTGATTTGAGGGTTTTTCATGGTTGTCAAACCAGTTTCATGGCGGCCAGTTCAACCGGTACCGATCAGCAAACCGGCTGGAAAGGGCCGTTATTTAACTGTGGTCAAATCCGGTCAATGCCGGTCAGATTCGGAAATTCCATTCGGTTAGACCAGAAACCGGAATTTAATGTTACACACATTATATTCAAAAATAAACATCATTCATAAGATTTGAACCAAGTACCTCATGTTCATTTTAGTTTAACTTATACACTAGTAGTCTACAAGCAATTTTGTTGTTTATATTAACCTTATATGTTATATATCTAATACTAAATTTTACACAAATCATTATAAACATTAATAAAATTCATTTAATAAAATTTTATTTTTAAGCATCTAATTGTTTAGTATTAGTTACCAATTCTCAGCTATAAATTATTTTGTGTGAAATAATTCTTATAATTACTTTTTGATGACTAATTTATTTGGAATTGAAGATTTCCATTTTCCTCATGTATTTTATTAAAACCGGCACAACCGGCATGAATACTGGTTATACCACGGTCAGACCATTCCACTTACAAAACCGGCACACCGACATAAACCGATTTGACAACCTTGGGGTTTTTACACCGACCATGCACCCCCACCACAATCCATCACCCTTCTAGTTTACAAAGCCGCCCCCCTGATGTTTACTTCATTTTTAGTTTTTTACAATATTAACTCTAGCTACCACACATCAAAAAATTTATTATATTTAAGTAGTATTCATCCTTGAAAATTTGAAATGAACGGTTAGTCATGTGTGAAATGTCATATTCTATCCGTAAATAGAATATATAAAGTTTCATATCCGAGGCGAGTTTTCAAGAAACCGCTCGCGTTTTAGCAAAAGTTGCGCTCCGCGATCGTATCGATTGGTTGAAAGGCCTGAAAGAAAATGTTGTTCTAGGTGGTATAATACCTGTTGGTACCGGATGCAAAGGATTAGTGCACTGCTATTCATGTTTTCAAAACGCTTAATATTGATTTTAATTCATTTTGTCATCTTAAGTAATGAAATTATGGAGTTCATAAGGTATGCTTTCGGATTCAATTCTCAACTTATTGTTTTGATAGATCTATTTTTTTTTTTTAATGATCACGAACAGAACCGCTTGTTCTCCTTGATTACTCTTGCATTTGCATGTATATGCCAAAATTGCTTGTCATAAAAAAAAAATCATTATTCATATAAAAAAAGAAATATCACAGACGTTATGATGCGAATTCACGGATAGGTGATCAATCTTTGTCACGTTTTTCTAATAAAATGGGTATCTTTTATCTGAGTGTTTGTTTGTGTGGTTGTATTCCTTTCTTTCGGAAGGAAATTCCTTAGAGACAATATATATATTATTAAGAGTTAGGTCAGTTTAATTTGTCTTATTCGAGGATTTAATTTTAATTTTAAGTTTATTTAGTCCATTCAGTGTAATTTATTTGAGCATTTCCTTGATTTTCATGTATTTTTCAAAAAAAAAAAAACTAAGTTTCAATACATTTAACTATTTTCTGAAAATCCACGTCAGCCATCCAAAAACCTTATTTTCTTTCCTTACCCCTCTGCAAACCTAACCATCAGATCGGGCCTCCTCCAACAACAACAACCGTACATTTCAAATTTTGTAGTTTTAGCGAAATGCATGGATTTTGGATTCTGATTAACCTGCCCCTATATTAATATTAGACGAACCAATTTAGTAAGTCCTGCATGCAATTCACGAGTGAAAATTCTTCTTCAATTTGTACACCCATCTCATCTCCAACTCCAATGCTGCCATTCCAAATAAAAGCAGTCAACTTCCTTTCTTTTTTTTTTTGGGCAATTCCAACATTTCTTGCGAGCGGCACAACACGAAACACTACTGAGTCGTTTATCATTGAGTTTTGGTGATTATTTGGTGAGATAGTTACAATACATGTATTGTTCATAATGTATTTTTTTTTTTTTGAATTTATGCACAAATAATACATGCTTGATTTGACACAAACTATCACTCAAAATGAGTGATAGTTAAATCTCAAGTTTTTGTTAGATTGTTGAAATTGTTTGGTGGTGATTGTTGGGTTATTTTTTCTTCCAATTATGTCCCTACCTTTTTCTTTACTTTTTTTATATTAAAAGCAAAGGGTAAAAGAGACATTTCATTCAAAAAGTAATATAACTTGTCTAAATATTATAATAACTATCACAAAAACCAAACGATGTTAACTACAATACACCAATTTTCTTATATACATGCATATTAATATACATGCATCGACGATAATCCATCAATTTAACTATCACCAAAATCTAACGAAACCCGTAGCATCAAGTATTGGATGGTGGACAGTTGGCGGGCTGGGCAGTGACATGTCGGCTCCAGAATAATATAATGTACGTACGTACATGCGATGTGGCTGGTGGAGACGGACTGAAAACGATGCCTATATATAGAGTCAACAGCTGATCATACAAATTCGGACCCCATTTAAGGTAAGGGGTTGAATATGCGCCAGATTCAACAGCTGCTGCTATCTAAAGTGTTCAAATCGTACAATAATGTAATTGTTATTGACCATCATTTTTCACAATAAGGGTTCAAATTGATCATATTATCTTATGATATGGTCACATATCATGCACAATTATAGTAGCTATTTGTTGATTAGTGCGCTGATGGTAAGCAGACTTGGCAAATTACAATCCGATTCGAACCCGTCCGGAAAAATAGAAGTTTTTATAACCCGAAATCCGAATGACCCGAACCCGATTAACGCGTGATATTTTGGGTCGGGTTGGGTGGGTTAGCCGGTCGATCCGTTAGACCCGTTCCATTTCACATGTAACTCACAAAATAATAAAATCACTCATGAATTGGTGAGATGTTTAAAAAAAAATTCACAAGGATTTAAAAGACATGTTTGGAGTTTAAGGGTAATCAAATATATCATGTGTTTCTTGTAGTAGTAGTAGTATTACGCTTGTGATTGTTTTTTGACGATTTGTGCAATTTGTATTTCATTTCATTAGAATGGGAAGATTTGAGAATATGTTAATTGACATGTGTTAGGGTAAACTATAACCATGTATATGTGAAGATTTTGTGTTCCTTAAAAAAGATATGAAGCATGTTTGATATTGTTTCTGAGAACGCTCATAAATCAAAACGACCTGTAACCCGACCCGAAACCGAATGGATTGGGTCAATATTTGACCCGAAATAAGCCAACTCAACAGGACCCGACCCGTAAACTGAAACCACAACCCGAAATTACCCAACACAACCCGATTGTCAGGTGAAATGGTAAGCGATTAAATTGAAGGACCCAAGACTAATCCAAATTAAATTATTGGAAATTAATTGGATCCTTGCGACATAGTATATTAAGCTTAAAAACTCATTAGATGCCGATTAAATCAAATAATTGATTTGAAATTCGCGCTCTAGCAGCCCAATTGAACTGAATGCAGATAGAGTTGATGGATGGATGGTTACGTTGATTCCTTGCGTCGGTGGCGGTGGGCAGCTCTGTATTGATGGAAATATCTTTGGTAGGGAAAGGGAATATATTTACAATAATTAATGAATGCAATTTGCATTTTCCAAAATTTTTTTTTCGCGCGGTGTGTGTGTGAATACTACGCCATAGGGGTCAAAGCTAAACAAACTCCCAAAACTGCGTCTCCATTCTAAGTTGGGCCGTCCCTTCGCTCAAAATCGTTCGCAATCGCTACCTCACTTCCTTTTTTCTTCTATTTTGGCAGTTTCTTTCACACTAAGTACCATCCAAATTAAAGTGGAATGCTAGTGTGGTGATGAGAATAAGTTAGTAAATGGTCCGTAGTAATTGTACATATTTTATTCGTTTAAAATTTTCGTATTCGTAGTATTTAGGTTGTTTTTTTTTGTTCATT